CCATAATGGACTTGTGTTTATAATCATTCATATTCAGATGTCTGGATACATGTGTCAATGTGATCTATCCCTCTTCACAAACACACACTCATTAAATGTATTCAGTGATGAGCGGAGTGCTGTCAAAGGACAAAAACAAGTATTTTGTTTACTGCATATATTTATAGGAAAAGTGACCTCTGCTGCTTTTGATTTAATTGTCTATGTGAATATGTGTAGAACAAAGTATCAATGTGACTGAGAATGAATCAGTAGCATCAGCAACACAGTCATTAACAAAGCCACAATAACAACACCATTACCATTGAGGTAAACACGACATGGACTTATTTTTGAATGTTTGTTGTATGCGAAAGATCAGCTGTTATCACATGATCTAACTGAGAAATCTTTGTCTGTTGATGAAGACGATGAGATGATGCTGAAAGCTTTGGGGAGAAAAAAATAGTAAGTGACCCTTGAGTAAAGATGATATGGCAGTGTTGTAGTCAAGTCACCGATTCTCATGTCCGAGTCGAGTCATCATAGCCTGTGTTCGAGTACGAGTCACGAGCCATCATGTATTAATCTGAGTGGATATATTTGTTTAAATTGAGCGGTTGGTTTGGTTCTTATCAATCAATATTTGTTATTGTCTACAATGCTTTTATCCTTTTATTTGCTGCATTGCTTTTATTCTGTCTTTTTTATAGTCATTTGTCTTTTTAACTGCTGTGAAGAACTTTGGGCTGCAATTTTTTGTATGAAGGGTGCAACATAAATATAATTCTAATCATTTATATATTATTATCAAGGTGTTTTGCACACGCTGGGGCAGAGTACATCCGAGTAAATCCGTGCTCGAGACAAAACTAGCTCGAGTTCGAGTCCAAGTCCGATCGTCAATTTGCGCGTCGGAGTTTGAGTTTGAGTCCATCAGTGCGCAAGTCTGAGTCGGAGTCCTTGTGTGAGAGAATTCACGAGTCCGAGTTAGAGTTTGAGCCCATCACTGCACAAGTCCGAGTCCAGGACTCAAGTACTCCAAGTCTGTTATGGTAAAAGAAGTGGCAATAAACTACATTTTTCTCTTAATACCACCATCACAGAGAACAACAACATTAATACCGGGACCAAGACGCACAAAAAAACAATTCTCCCTCCATCAAAACCACTATCCATGTCATCATCACCTTAAAGGGCCCATGTCATGGCCATTTCCACTGATCATAATTCCATTGTTGAGGTCTACTAGAATAGATTTATATTGTGCATTTTTCCAAACTCACATTGGTTTCTCATACAGCATCTCTGTAAACTACGTGTATTCACTGAATTTCACTCTCTGCCTTTAATGGCTCGTTGTAGCTCCAATAGCTCCAGCCCCCACCCTCCCTGTGAGCACAGTGTGCTCTGATTGGTCGGGACGTTGTGAATCGCGCTGAGCTCCGTGGAGGTGTTGTTTCCTTGTTTAGGATACACAGCGAAACACAGCCAAACTCATCCTGAGCACACACAAAGTCACAGCCGAAGTAAAAACAATAAGTGTGGCTTGATATTGAGTAAGAAAAAGGTTGATAAACGCTGTGAGAATGGGTCTGCAGAGAGAATTTCGCCACGATCCCAACTGTCTCTTATCAGCCTGCAGCCAGGGAGGAGAAATCAGCAGAGCTGCCTGCACTGTGTGTGTGTGAGGAAGTCCGTGGATTGGTCAATTTGGACTAATCAGCGGGGGCTTAACGTAACGGCTCCGCGGACGTAATGTAACGACTCCACGGATTGGTCCATTTCGTTCCGGGTACGGCTTGACATCATGCCGTACCCGGAACGAAATGGAAGAATCAAATGGACAATGACGTATCTCCAACGAGGCGTTTTGGGGAGGTATTTTCTGTGTTAGAGTTTTACTCGCTACAGGGTGTACTTTGAGGGTTTTGACTCTGCACACCGTTTACATGCATAAAAACCTTCATAACACACAAGGGGACGGGTAATAACCGGAAAAGCATGACATGGGCCCTTTAACTTCCTGTTGTAATCAAAAGTGCACCGCTGAGCAGAATCATCCCCGGTGAATATGTTTTTTTTGTCACACAGCCTACAATCGTCTTTAGATCTATTTATAAGACTCTATTTATATCAGAGAAGAATAGAAACTTGTCATGTCCTCACTACACTGTTGGAGTTGAACGGGGGGGCACACAGGGAGGTGTACGACATAATGAGAAGGTGAGGGGGGGGCTCTGCAGTCAGAACAGAGCCAACTGCCAGGAAGTAGAGCATCAATTAAGGGCAGCGTGCCCTACATGGCACAATGACGTTCCCACAATGCACCAGCTTCATGCACGTCCACTACTTTACTTTATGTCTCTTTAACACACACATAGGAACAAACTCCTGCTGGTATTAAATTATTGAACAGTGAGCGACTGGGACACAAAGCACCAGGGGAGGGAAATAAGACACCAACCACACACACACAGAGCGCAGACACACACACACACACACACACACACACACACACACACACACACACACACACACACACACACACACACACACACACACACACACACACACACACACACACACACACACACACACACACACACACACACACACACACACACACACACACACACACACACACACAAAGTCGATGGGGGCACAAAAGGTATGGCACACACTGAGGAAGAGTATCAGGACCCATAACAGAGGATGTGTTTAGGTGCACACACACACTCACACACTTACCCACACACACACAACAGTTGCCAGTGTATGCAGGGTGATTCAGTGAGTAGACGAAACCGGATGGGTCAGTGTCAGATCCGTGACATCACGTCCTGTCAGTCCAGATAAAGCTCAGAAATGCTGACGCAGAGAACATTTCACACTGCAGTAAAACTCGGACCGGTCTTCAGTGTTCCAACACGTGCCGCTGCACCTGAACACACCACTGCTGCTGCTGAATGCACACATTCAGATGTGTATTTCTGTTAGTTTCACTGTTTTCGCTGACAATGTTTTTTGGCTGGCCAGGCTGCTGCTTTCACCCCCTACTCTGCTTCCTCATCCGCTGATAAAGACTCACCTGTTCCAGAGTCACAGCCACCAGCTGCTCTTATATGCTGATCACTAATCACCTCCCCATCTCCAACCTACAACCACACACACACAATCGCTCTTATCCGCTGATGCATCAAGTTCAAAGATCTGTCAGCAGCTCTGGTTAATGTGTGGCTGCAACATGGAGGACTCGGATCATTGAGTCCTGGACCAGTCTGCATCCTGACTGTGAGGGAGACAGTGTGTGTGTGAGAGAGTGTATGTGAGAGGGTGTATGAAAGTGTGTGTGAGTGTGTGCGAGAGAATGTGGCAATGATTGTTTGTGAAAGTTATTCTTCTCTTATTATTATTGTAACTTTTATTATTAATGTCAGAAGTAGTAGCAGTAGTATGTTTTATATATTTGTATTTTATTATATATGTTGCATCGTTGGAGGAGCTCAGGTCATAAGATTTTCATTGCCATTTTTACACTGTAGCATGTGCATATGACATTAAAACTTTTGAATCTTTGAATTTGAAATATTTTGAAAATGTTTCGGCTTTATTAGAGAGATTTTAAGGTTTTAATAAACGAGATGACACGCGTAAATTGCAGTAGATTAGTAGTATTTTAAATTGTTGATGACATCCATCAGTTATGTTAAGCTTATTTTCTGGAGTTTAGGTTATTGTCAACACAGCTGTTTTATCTTTGAATGTTAAAAACTAATATCATGTACAAGTGTTTTGGCAGCCCACACCATCCTACACAACGTAACCCACAAGGTCACGACCCCAGGAGCACAGCATCAGCAGCCCGACAGAGAAGCCCCAGCACCACATGCTCCATACCCAGCCCAAAATCCAGTAGAGAGATGCTGATGCACTGATGACTGCCGACCTGGGGGAGACCACACACACCTGCTCCGTCTCATATGTGCCTCACTGATGAGCTGTGATACTGTAAAGTGTCATGAACACTACTTAAAAGTAATCCCACTTTCTAATGTTTGTGTGTGTGTGGATTTCAGGTGAATTGAAGTTCCTCTGTCCTCATTCAGTCATTACGTAACGTGATTCAACTTCTTTCTATTCAGGGGAACATTCCTAATCCCATTACAGCTAATCCCAATCTGTGTCTGTGTCTGTGTCCCCCCCCTTTTCCTCACAGCAGGACCAACAGAGGCTCTCTGGGACGAGCTGTCAGAGATTTGCGGGGCTGTCGCAGTTTTCAAATGAGTAGGAGGAAGGAAGAGGAAGAGGAGACATTTCCTAACATGGAGCTGGAGAGTGATAGGTGAAAGAGGAAGAGGGGTTGAGTGTAATGGTGACACTGTTACTGCTGATGACAGACTGAATTCCCTGCTGTCATCAACAGGAACATCCCCTCTAGGAATATTACACAATGTGCCAAAAACATAAAACCCTGTATTACCCCGAGCTCACTTCATCGTACAAGCCCCTGCACACACTCCATTCAGATCACACTGGCATTGTAAAATAAACTACTAAACACATTCACAGCCAACAGGAATACATACAGGTTTTTTATATAAATATGATAAGCATATGGGGAAATTACCATTTGATTAGATAAGAGTCAGCGAAAGTGTGAAAACTAGTTAAAATAAATGGCTGACATAATAGGCTACTGTTTAAATAGTGAGCTCAAAGAGAACTGTTTTAAATCTCAAAAATGTATAAATGGTGATTAAATTGTTAAATTGTTAAGGTTAAATGTGATGTGATAAATGGTTGAAATAGAGGTGTAAATAAATATATAAATATATGTCATTATTGTGGAGTAACTCTGGAAAACCATTGTCAGACTGTCATTTCTGAAACATTATTATACACACACTGCCTGTTATTACAACAGTGTGTGTAGAAGAAGACACATATATAATACTGCAACATTCACACTCCTTTCATACATAACTGAAATATCATATGACTGAAGTTAGTCTACTCACGTGCCGAGGACTTCTTTAAAATCAAAAATCTTCTTGATGTCGTCCTCCTGTTTCTTCCACGTCTCTCCTCTACCGGTGTCTCCGTTCTCCCGAGCCATGGCGCTGCTTCTCCGGCCAAGTCCGACCGACTGACCGACCCGGAGCTGCGGGGAAACAGGAAAGGTAGCAGGAGATGAGAGCAACGACGCCGAGCTGAGAGTGTGCTCCTCGGATACTGCAGGACATGAGAGTCCGCCTGCAGGTTACCGTGTCCCTGATGCAGCTGCTCTCTCTCTCTCTCTCTCTCTCTCTCTCTCTCTCTCTCTCTCTCTCTCTCTCTCTCTCTCTCTCTCTCTCTCAATTTCTAATTCAAATTCAAAGAAGCTTTATTGGCATGTATTGACAAAGCACACTGTACAAGGTAGGCCTAATTCAACAGTGAAAAATAAGTGTTAATAATATCATATAATGTAAAGTCAAGTAAAGAAGCTGAACATCATGATAGGCCTACTAATAATGATGTCTCTCTTTCTGTCACTCCTCTCTCTCTCTCTTTCGCTCTCTGTCTCTCCTGCACCTCTCCAGTTATTTAAACAGCTGCTGTCAATTTCACGAGTAGAAAACATCACTTCCCGTCAGATCTTTCAAAAATAAAAGCCTGTATATTTACACAACGTGGAGCATGAATACATTATTATTTACACATTACAGATTTGTTAAGATGTTCCATAATGTTCACAATATAATACGTATATTACCATTATTAGGACTAATATAGTAAAACCATACATCATACATCAAATGTATGTGTTAATATATATAATATATATATACAGCTCTGGAAAAAATAAAGAATCCACTGCACAATTATCAATTTCTTTGGTTTTACTAATTATAGTTATGCCTTTTAGTAAAATTATCATTTTTTCTTTTATTCTATAAACTACTGACAACCTTTCTCTGTGTTGGATAGGCTGACATACATGTAGAGATTGAGATTCAAGAACAATGTGCAATAGTCTCTTAGTTTTTTCCAGAGCTGCATATACCATAAGATAAACAAAAAACAGTCAATTTGATGACTCTGGTGATGTTATATAATACAAAAATAATAATTTGATACACAAACCGAGCCTTTTCAATGACAGCCAAACCCCAAATTGACCTCTCCTCTCCTCTCCAAACACTATTTAGTTTTTAATATTTCACAGGTAGGCTAAAGATTTTTGTCAAATTTGAGCAATTTAAAAAAAAATCTCACATTTCTGTTTTATTTTTAAAGCAATTTCCCCAAGTTTCCTGTAATACGCTGTTACGCATGCGTAGCTTGACCGCGGTCCTGCATGTCTGACGTCGTTAAACGATTTTCGGGTTTTCCTCTTCTGCACAACAACTTGATGCGTTTTATTTTTACCTCACTACATGTTAAACTGTGTACAATAATACTAAAACGGAGCCATATTTTGGCAATGCATGTTGTTATGTAGATAAAAAAAAGACCTGATGGGATGCTGCTCTTGCATCTTGTCCGGTAAAAGGAGTGATGGTGTCAGTTCGCAATGCACCATCATGCACCATCATCATCACTATGGGACCTCCAACAGCAAGGCTCCACACAGCGGCACGTGGATCAGCTGTGACCCGGCTGCAGCCTCACCTTCACCGGGCTTAAACCGTGCTCTGATCCCTAGGTCAGCTCAGGCCGGGTAACTGTGTGTGAGTGTGTACATTTTTGTGTGTGTGTGTGGGGGGAGACACAGACAGAGGGAGGAGTGGGGGAATGTGTTGCAGCTTCTCATGAGTATTCTAGCTGCAAACTACTGCAGCTCTTCCTCAGCATCAGCCAGGAAACTCCTCTCCCTCCCCCGTCCTCCCTCACGCTTTACTCCAAGTCAGCAGATCTGACCTCCCCTGATGAAAGATGATTACCCAGCTGCAAAAGGAAGGAGGAGGAGAAGCAAAGGGCATCAGATGATTTAAAGAGGATGAAGGTGGAGGAAGATGACTCCATGGTGTGCACGGACAGAAGCATTACAATGTCAACCCATGTCATCAGGACTCCATTAAATACATAGACCTGTGCTCATGCCACAGCCATGACGTCTGTGTCAGTAAACTACGCAGTCAGACACGTCTCGGCAAGAAAGGCCCAGGTGGAGCAAATAAAACAGATGGTGTCACAGAGTCATCTTTGAAATGTATTAGTAACACCTGTGAGTCATAAAGTCATAATGTCTGCTGTGAAAAAGATTTCCCAGAGCAATAGTGAACGATCTAGCTGGTTGAATTAAAACGGAATAATTTGGTTTACTGAGATTGTTGGCCTTCCCTACATTGGGTTATCTTTTTGTGAGATTTAGGCTGAGATTTACTTTTTTTAATTTAAATTTTATTCTTTATTTATTCGGGGTCACATTATATTAAGAGTACAGTTTTGCAAATCATATATTTTTAGAGACCCGAAAATGACAAATGAAATACCAAACAAAATTAGTCAAATGAAATAAAAACGAAAAAGTACACAGGGGTTGTTTGAAATGTCAAATATCTACACATGTACTCCTGCATTATATAATATTACATCGCATTTAGCTGACGCTTTTATCCAAAGCGACTTACAATAAGTGCATTCGACCAAGAAGATACAAACTTGAAGAAAACAGAATCATATAAGTAGCCTACATCAGGTTTCATAGAGCCAAAACATTTCAAGTGCATCTACTTAAACACACGCACGTACACACATGTATATTATACATATACATACATATACCCATATACAAGCACACCGACATACATACATACATACACATATACACAAATATACATACATATACACAAGCATGTATGTACACAGACATTCACACACATACATACAACTATATATGCATACATATACACACATGTGCACATACATACACAGCTATACATATACATTCAATCGGTGTATAGAAGCACAGTCAAACAAGAGATGGTCGTCTTTGGGATATGTAAATTCTCCACTTTTTCCATATTTCCTCAAATGTGTTTTCCTGAAGCCTCATTGAGAAAGTAATTATTTCCATAACATACATTTAATGGATTTTGTCGTACCAGTTGTCAAGGGAAGGGATGTCCGCTTTGAGCCATTTTCTAGTTATTGCTTTTTTTGCTGCAACAGTAAGAATTCCAAATAATAGTTTTGTTTTAAGGTTTGTGGAAATTGAATGTACGAGCCCAAATAGAAATTCGTCCCAGTTTAATGGGATTTTTTCCTGTAGTATTATTTCGATTTCTAAATGGATCTTTTGCCAAAAAGTTACTATTAAAGGACAAGCCCAAAACAAATAGTAGTGATGTGCTAGCTGAGAACCACATTTCCTCCAGCAGCTGGGGGGACCTAGATGATGTGATGACTGAGCAGGGCTGAAAAAGTACCTGCTAAGCATCTTCCAACTGAACATCCTGTAGGTGCCTGAGCTAGAGATCTTCCATTGAAAAGTACAGTCATTTGTCCAGACTTCGTCAGGGATACTTTTTTTGGTTTCCTTTTCCCATTTGTGTTTTATGTAGAAAGTATTTTCCTTTTTAATATCTTGAAGAGCTTTGTAAAGTTTTGAGATTACTTTCATCCCTGTGTCTGATGTGTATGCAATGGTGAAAACTATTAATAAAGGATTTTCAAGGGCCTTCTGACTGTCTGACAGAGAACTGTTTAAGTAGTGGCGTACCTGTAGAAATAAAAAAAATAATCACCGTTATTCAACCCATATCGTTTTTTTAGTGTTTGAACATCGGTCATGGTTCCTTTACTGAAGAAATTGCAGTATGAAGTATGTATTTTGTATCTAGCTTGCTCGGGGTGAAATCAAGATCATGTGAGCACCATCTTAATATCTTCATTTCCTCCAGCAAGTCACTCCTGGTAAGGACCCTTAACCATCATTTGAAAGAGAGGTTTATCCAGCGGTTATCTTTTTCCAGTAAGTTTTTAACATGTATTTTATCACCTAACCTTTGCCTCGATTGGTACTCCTGATATATTATTCTCAATTTCTTTCCATCTAGCCCCGTAGTCTGACTTGCACCAGCAGAACAAACTTCTTAATTGGGCAGATATATAGTAGTCCTTCAAGCAGGGGAGCGATACTCCTCCCTTGTTTTTTGCTAGTTGAAGAGTACAGAATCTAATCCTTGGTTTCTTCCCTTGCCAAATGTACCTTGATACGGTTTTATCCCATTCATTAAACTGCTTGTCTGTGATTTCAATTGGTATTCTGGAAAAGGTATAAGAGCCTATAGGATGTTCATTTTCACTGATTCTATTCGTGATTCAAAGCTCAGCATTGGGATTAAGTTCCATCTATTTATATCTTCTTTTATTTTCTGATTTAGAGGGTTGAAATTTAGTGAATACAATTCCTTTGAACCTTTAGAGATGCTTACTCCCAGAACAGACTGCTGTTCTGGTGCTTTGTTTACAGGCCGATTTGATTTCAAATGATGATCAATGTGCAACGTACCCCACGCTATTCCCTCGTACACTGAGGAGGTGTAACTCTGATCACGCCGGCTCTTTCCATCACACTGTAATTGCTCTGCCAGGAGTGAAGAAAAAAACCGAGCCGAAATGAAGTGCCCTGCTGTGTGCGCACACAGCTCATTTAGCTCCTGGCGTAATGAGAGCTGCTGCGTAAAAGCACAATCAATTTTGTAATGTGCCGTTTTTACAGCCCCCCCCAGACTGACAGCCGAGCCGATACACGACAACAAGTTTAATGGTGTTCTTTCGAAGAAACAGTCTACAGCGATGCATGATGGGAAAACAGGACTGGGAAAGAGTGCCTGGAGCGACTTCGGAGCAATGAGTGTGTCAAAAGTGTTCAGAGGGGATAGGCAGGGAGAGATGGAGGAGGAGGGGGGGGGGGGGGGAAATGTAAGGTAACAAACAGCGTTAGTGTTGGATCTGTCACAGACTCACAACACACTAGTTCAATTAAATGTGTGAGTTCCTTCTAAATCCAGACAATATGCAGCAAGAAAGATACTCAAACTATTATACACACTTATTTCAAAGTATAAAATCAGCCGTTCTACACAGTGTGAGAGAATACATCCCGCAGCAGTAACACCGTAACACCCCCCCTTAATAAAGTGCTGGACGGCTCAGCAGTGTCCGAGCAGAACATGAGTCCTCAGAGAGCCGTTAGCATGCTGCGCTAATGTAGCATGTTCCATTAGACTAACACCAGACAGATGTTCAAAGACCTGGAGTACAGCGCGTACCGCTCACAGGCTGAAAGGAAAAATAAGCTCTAACAGGACAGAGGGTGGAGAGTCATGCAGACGACATCGTGTGGAGGGCTTCAGATTCACTGTGGAGCATTTCCCTCTTCCTCCTCAGAAGCTTCCTGTTGGCTTTTCTTCTGTAAAGGAGAGATCACACTTTACTGTCAGCAGCCAAACCCTTTTAGACAGTGCAATTCAGCAATAGTATCTTATTAATGCTAATACACCAGTAGATATATCGCCATGAAGTATTGTTGTCAAATATGTATAATTTCTTGTGTTTATATAAATATTTTGTATTCTATTTTTATCTTTTATTGGACATTTTATTTAGATTTCTTATGTTAATATCAATATTTTTATTCAAATGTATTAGACATTTTCTTTTTTACTCCTTATGTCAAAATAAATATTTTTATTTAATTTTATCTTTCATTAGACATTTTAATTTTACTTTTTAGCAAATACAAATAATTATATTCTTTTTTATATTATTTTGACATTTTAAAATGTGACTTTATGTTAATATAAATATTTGAATTATATTTTATCTTTTATTGGACATTTTAAATTTGACTTTTTAGTAAATATAAATATTTATATTATTTTTTCATTTCTGAACTTTATAAAAATGTTTTTATTTTATTGCACATTCTTATTTTAATTTCTTATGTTTTAATAAATACTTTTATTCTTTTTTTCATTTTTTATTTACTTCATTCAAAAATCGAACACAATTTCCCCCAGGATAAATGACGTACTCTGACTCTATATGCATAACATATGCTCACTACTGTCTTTGTCGTTTAACATTAATGAAAAATACAATGTACGACTACAGCAATGTACTTTGTCCTGTTCCATTACCTTGTGTAGCATAATGGACAATGACATAGTGTTGTAGAAAAACAATGACTGATCCTCGACTCTTACCAGTTTGAGGAAGTCCATGAGTTTGTAGGCATCTTCTCCTGTGGAGAGGTCCACAAAGTCCCGAGGGATTCTGTAGCTCAGACAGGGGCTGGGCTGCACCGTCACCTCGCTGGTGGTGCAGCGGAACGCCGGGCCCTCCTGCACAGAAAAATAGAGTCACAATAAAACAGGTTGAACTTCTGATTTATTTAAGAGCGGCCTAAGTTCACCCTCACTACAAATACTTTGATTCTCTTCTGAGCCTTTGTGAAGCTCCGCACAATGAAGTCTGTTTTTAGAGAGCGTGTCATGAAAGCTCACCTGTTGCTGGGAGATCTCCCCTCCTGACCTCAGCTCCTCCCAGCTGAAGAGCAGAGAGTCTGTGAGCGCTCCGAAGGGGTTCAGGTCTATCAGCCACACCCTGCCCTGCAACACACACACACACACAGAAGTGTGACTCAGTTTGCGAGTGACTATTTTAAGGTGGACTGTGTCAAAATGCATCAGTGTGCTCACCTCACTATCTCTGTAGACGTCAAACACAACTGTAAAACAGAAACACAGTCATCTTACATTTACATCAACACACGTCATATTTTTGAATAGAGACACATTTGATCTGTGTTTTCTGCTTTTCCTGCTGTGTGTTAGTGGAGCTTGGCACAGACAGATGAGGGGAAACACTCACAGTCTTCGTCAGGGAAGTTGTACTGGACGTGCTGGCTAAAGAACTCCTGGATGGCGTGACTGACCTGCTCCTCCTGCTTCAACACGTGATGGTAATACTGTGTGTAGTCCCTCTGGGAGATAGCTGCCAACACAGACACACACCATGAGGGGAGCTCTGACAGGTCGAGCATTAAACACTATACCTATAGCAATCAAACTAATTCCCATTTCAGACATATTCAGCTCAGTTCTGTAAAAATCCAGCATGTTAATCCAATTGAGTGGCTCATACTGTGAGATGCATTGTTTCGTTAACAGCAGGGGCGGTATTGTTTAAATACTCTGTTAGTCCTTCATACAAAATGTTACTTAAAGGGGCCCTGTTATGCTTTTTGGGGTTTTCCCTGTCCTGTAGTGTGTTTTATAGGTTTTAGTGTCAATGGTCTGCAAAGGCTAAAATCCTAAAGTTCCCTCCAGAGGTAGTTTCTCTAGAAAAACACCTGGTGACATCACTCCGTAACACTCGCGCTTAAATCGACCAGTGCTATAGCTCATTGTATGTGATGGCTAAGGCTTGGGACATCTCTAAGTGGTTGATCAATCACAACAGAGCCGACCAGCTAACCAATCAGAGCAGACTGGGCTCTGGTTTCAGACAGAGGGTGAAAAGAGGTGCTGCAGCACAGGCAGTATGAGAGAAATAAAGACATCTTTGAACATTAAAGCATGTAAATATGTCACAGTAGAGGAACAAAATACAAATATGAACCTGAACATTTACATAATGGGGAGGGGCCCTTTAAGAAAAAGTATCAGCACCGAAATATACCGAAGGAACCAAAAGTTAAAGCATTCATTCTGCAGAAAAATAAATACTATATTATTGTATTAAATCCCAGTTTGTAAATGTTGTGCTTATATCTATTGATTACTATGTAGTGTAATGTAATGTTCAGATTCTATATAATAAATCAGAATGTTTTAGTTGATTATTTTCTGTTGATCTAGGTAAGTAAATAGTGATTAATGTCAGATTAAAGTAGTGTAGAAATGTTTTTTCTTGGTTGTAGTGAAGTCAAATGAATTAGCAGAACATGATCAGGGTTATATTACATAATTGGTTGATAGCAATCACTGCTTAATTAGTATATTGATTTTCTTTCCAAAAATCCAGAATGAATAGTGAGCGCAGAGCTTTTACCGATCAGTTTGTTTTCTCTGACGAAGCAGCGAAACTCTCCGCCAGGAATCAGCTCGCTCCACTTTCTCAGGACCAGCTGAGGACAGCACAGATATTACAGGATTAATCAATAACAATGAACATTACACCCATTTCAACATGGAGGAGGTGGTCAAGTCTAACTACATATTGATAATATAACAGATTTTCCTTCATAGCAAAAGTGACTTTGTAATTGCATCAGAACAACAGATCAAAACACAAGCTAATCAAAATACTGTAGAGTTAAAATACCTCATAGTTAATGACTGGATCTGGGGAGTCCTGGTCACTACATTGAAGGAATCTGCAGAAAGAAATGAAGTTACAATCGCTATACAAAAAAAAAATACAAATGTTATGTAGCATCATAAGGGTTGTTTATTGATTCTGATCTGATCTGATTATCATTTCTATTTTTATTTTCACTGTCATTTGATCCGCAACACTGCAAACGTGACGTCAGCTAGTTTGTTTTGAACATATTAAATACAATATATCACGTTGACTTCTCTACTCAGGCACACGCAAGCACGCTGTGGATATCTGTTGCCATCTAAATGTGAAATGTGTGTGTTGATGTCGTTGGGAGGAGAGGCTTACGGCTGCGTGAGGTCGTGAGTGATGAAGTCAGAACTTTTGAAGAGCAGGAATATATCACGGAGGCTGTCACACTGCAGGGAACTGTTCAGAGCAATCCAGTTAGCATCCTGACACACACAAACACAAAAAAAGCATTGTTAAGTTGTGTCCAACAATGAAGTGGAGCAAAAACCACCAAAACAACAAACAATTTACAAGTTATGTTTTTTTTTTTTTTTTAAAGGTATCTTTTCTTATCAATTAATTACTCTACCATTTAAAATGAAGCAGGCATACAGTTTTTCATTTGAGTGCAGTTTTATTTACCCGTGGAGCGCTCCAGTTGAGTTTGGGGAAGACGCGCCCGCCCAGAGCGTTTATGGCCTCCAGCACTTTGGAAGTGAATTCTGGGAACTCAGGTGCCTAGAAGACACACAACAACATCATCATAACATGGCAGTCACAACTACTGAATTATAAAATGTGTATGCATAGAAAGAATGGTATTACTGTAAAATGCAGAGAGCAGTAGCATAAAGTGAGTTAGAAAACTGACCAGCTCATGCTAATATAGACTGCAAAACACATTTCATTAGGCGGTCAATAAATGCAACATTTTGATTGGGCACAGATCAACATTCAATGTACGTACAGTGGCAGTGGTGGTTGTCTCATCGTCTGACCACTGGAGGGAAGGAGAAAAAACAGCTAAATTAAATGCATGTTGGGATTTACTGTGATATCTATATATATTTGAAGTGATAAGATAGGTATGACTTTAGAGGATGTATTTATAAATGGACAAATAGTGAAAATAGCCTTGGTCTCTGTACCTGAATGTCCTCTTCTTCGTCTGAGTTGCAGTTGTTATTGTGCACATTGTCATGGCCACTGACAGAAAAGAAAGCAGAAAATAAAGATTTAGCAGGATTCATATTATGAGATGGAGAAAATGTGTGTTGTAAATGGAACTGCTTAAAGTCTCGTGGCCTGTTTGCTACATGATGCATGAATAAGGGTCCCTACCTTCCAGAGACTACCAGTGTGCCATCGTCCAGTAAATACTCTATTACATTTTGAGGCAGCGGGAGAATCACACTGCAAAAAAATAAAAATAAATAACAGACATGAGAAGAAGAAAGGGGTTTAATGGAGCTGCCCAGAACAAAAGGATGTTATAATACACACGATAATAAATAGAAAGACAGGCAAGTAGCTGCGTTAGCCTTCGGTTAAATGGACTAGCGCTAGCTTTTACAGCAACAACAATGTGCATTTGTCCGGGACTTTCTGTACAAACATTTGCTGTTTACCTTTTAATCGTATGTTTCTTGAATATTGGATACCAAACCGAAAACTGACAGTTGGCCACTTGCTCCTTCTTCATGCTGCAATATCCTGAAATGTAAAAGAGTGCAACAGTATATATCTTCCGAACTCCAGGTACCTAAATGTCGCCGGACCATTGCTATTTAATATATTGGCCTTTTTATGCAGCACTGCTTTACATTTACGCTGGTATGAATGTATTTTATTGCATTTAAATCACGTTGGTAAACAAAATGAGCTTTATTTATAGAATTGTGTAATATATATGTGTTTACAGAAGGGGAAGCTTTTGTGAGACGTACGTGTGGGCGTGGTCGGTACATTTGGGACATAGATCGTTTATTAAAAGAGGAATCACTTAGCACCTTAAAAAAACTACATTTGCTTTGTTCAGAGCACACATTTTTACTTTTCCAAATACACATGAGATACTGATTACACCATTAATAAACATTTCAGACATTATTTTGATATTACATTTAATTAGTGCTAAATTAAACTTACTAATAACACTAACAATGGCTGTAGTCAAGCCTTGACAGAGAGCCAATGCACAATAGCAGGATCCTAAAATCAAAGTAGATACATAAAATAATAGTTATTTTTTTCGTTGCATGTATTGGTGTGCTATTGAATGCCTTTGAAAATGCAGAAATTATACAATATAAGTAGTTAGTTGGGATTAAAAGTATTTATGTTCCCTCACTGAGGAATAAAACTAGTCTCCGGAAGTGGAAGCAGAGTGACTCATCGCTTCTTCTATATTATCTCTTTCTCTCAATTCATTGCGGTTGGGATTTCACGTGAGTTCAGTTTAGTTTGTTCATTTCTTATGTATGATTAGTGTAAGTGTAAAATACATGATCTCTGGCAGTATAGCTGACTGTAAGCATCTACGTAATGGGTATACACAAGTACCCGAAGAGAAAAGCTCAAAGTTTGGCTAATTTTCCATCCCATGATCACAGCTCTCGGTGGTTTTTGTTAAATCTGATTAGTTTTATAGCTTAACTTGTAATCAACATATTCGTCTTTTGATTTGAAGCTTTCTTATTCGACTTTCCTCCGTTTGCAGATATCCAGAGAGTGAAAATGAGCAACACTGAGGCCCCAAAAGAGACTTGTGCTCCACACGTAGTGAAAGAAGAGGTAACACTGCGTCTGTTTTCAGGCTTTATTTGTGTGTCTAAACTATAATTTATAATTTCTCATAAACTCATATTCTTTACCAACTATTATCCCCAATCCTAACTCATCAATGTGTAATATCAAGCAATGCAAAGCAGCATATTATATATTTCAAACTCATTTTAAAGATATTACTGATTTGTCATGCAAACCACTGAGGAATATCTTCTAAAGTAGACACTATTACACAATTCAAACCAAATTGGCCCTTTGATTGATCATTTTAAAAATCATTACACGAGTACAATGATTTTAATTTATTCATTTCGATAGCTTTTAAACTGAAATACCCTTTCAGTACTCACACTGCTCTGTAGGAAAGCTTCTGCTGGTTACTTGTGACATTGATTAGCCGTAGAGGAATGTGATTACAGAGGAGCATCACTTCATCTGTTTCAGCTCATAGCAGCAGGACAATGGTTGAAGCTGGAGAAGACGACCTATGTGGACCGTTCCGGAAGCACCAGGTACTGTCCGCTCTACGACTGACACCACTTCATCATCACACAAGTTTCCCGCTAACACTTCATCCTGTTTTCCTCCACCAGAACCTGGGAAACCGTGAAAAGGACGACGAGGCAAACTAACCCAAGTGCAGATGGTATGCGTTAGCCCCTCAGTGTAATCTTAAGTAAAATGGAGTTTGCAGGCTGTAACACTTCCCCCCCCCCCCCCCCCCCCCACAGCTGTTGGAATCATCGCCCTGCTGAAGCGCACGCTCCATAAGGACTGTGTTGTGATGGTGAAGCAGTTTCGTCCTCCTATGGGAAGCTACACTCTGGAATTTCCTGCAGGTCAGAAAGTTACACATGATTAAAAAAAAAGTCCTTCAATTGTATATTTAGCTGATCATGTGACACGGTTTCTGTGTGCTCAGGGCTCATTGACGAGGGGGAGAGTGCAGAGGTTGCTGCGCTGAGGGAGCTGAAAGAAGAGACCGGATTCAGAGGAGAAGTAGTGGGAGTCACTCCAGGTGTGTGTGTGGCGCAATGTGAACCTTTTTGTTTTGGGAACATATGTTGTGAGCATTAATGATGGTGTTGATTGCAGTGACCTGTCTGGACCCCGGCCTGTCTAACTGCACCACCCAGATCGTCATGGTGAACATCAACGGAGATGAAGGAGAGAACATCAACCCAACACAGCAGCTCGGTGAGAAGACAGGGAGCATTCATTTTAGCTTTACTAACTTGTCTAAATAAATACACATTTGATCTTTTTGTACACATCATCATTAATGCTCACTTATTCCATAAATTCGCCCATACAATCAAATTCTTTCTCAGGTCACATGAAGAGGGCATGTTCAATTTTCTCGCACTTAGTTTGTTCTCTTGGGTTCGACCTACATTTGAATACTAACACAAATCCTACCAATAAGAAAAGTAGCTCGTCTGAAATATAAAAAAACCTAAATAATGTTGTTCTCCTTTGCTCTTCTACAGGTGATGGAGGTGAGTTTTGTTCCTTATTCTATCAGAAATAATCATTTTCTCTCATAAAGCAAAAAATCACATGAGCCTTAACCCTCTCTTTGCAGAATTTGTCGAAGTCGTTCTGCTACCTCTTGATGAATTCCAGTCAAAAATAGATGGTGAGGCTTTTACTTTTTTCCATATTTGTAATATTAGCATTTAGACAACAAAAAACCCACTAACTCACTTCCTTGTTTTATGGGGCAGTTCTTCTGAAGAAAGAAGACATCGTGGTGGACAGTAAAGTGTACATGTTTGCCATGGGGATGGCCCAGGCCTTCTTCAAGCCCATGGAGCTTCCTGTCCTGAAGCAGTAAGAGAACAAGAGAAGAAGAAATAGTATTTTTCTGTTTCATAGGGCTCCTGCACGGGACTGGAAAAATCAGCATTGAAATTGAAATTCCAAAATGATATAGGAAAGTTGTTGTTGCATTGGGATTTGAGACACCATGCAATCAGTATTTTAATATTTGTTTCTTTAAAGACAAAAATGTAATAATGATATGTAGAAAGTGACCCTATGAAAGAGCCCTAACATAGGGGACCACTGTTTGATCTCAGAATGGAGCTACTACCATTCATCTTAAAAACTAAAACGTATTCTGCTGGCCAATCGTTCATTGTTGCACACTTAACTCAGAATATGTTTCAGCCTGTAGCCTCCAATGCCTTACTTGACAAACAGTCATTTCCAGGTTGGTATGAGATTAAATGTAGTTTGAGAAGCAGTTTGTTGTAATTTTAGTTTAGTGATAGTCAAACATTCCTAACATACTGCTTTTCAATGGAAGAAACAAATAACCTGTTAAATATAACTGTTGTTGAAGTACTATGTAATTATTGCTTCATTTAATTCCCTTTTTTTTGTTCTCTCGGATAACTTCAAGCAAGCATTTTGTCTGAAAGCATGCTAAGAACTGATGAAACTCACTAACTTTAGAGGAAGTAAACAAGTTATTACTTATAAAATAACTAATGCATTGTTACATTTAGTATTTGGTTGATATATAAACAGCATTTGAACAATGTGAGGGGTTTCTTCTGTGTAACTGTACTGTGTTGGAACAAAAATATGCTGTTAATGCAGAAACTGAACCTACCTTGTGGTGTTATAAACTGGAAATTGATGCTGTACTTACCCTAGCAACTGCAAATGATTGACCAATAAATAAAGATCGCACTACTTTTTCTAAAACTCAAGGTCCTTTTTTAAAAGTGTATTTGTCTGAGCTCATTTTTATACACATGCTTTGAGTAGTAGTATGTGATATCATGCAGATAAGACACAATATCTTAGCTTTGTTACATTGTAAGTCAAATGTAATCTAAGTTAACTCATGGTTTGATTAGTGCACATTTCAATTTTATATCATTTTAATATAATAAACACATTATTTATATACAACATGATTTATTGTAAACCCTACCAGATAATACAATTTAATAAAGGATTTCCTGAACTAGTTTATAATAATAAATGTCCATGCCCATCGCTTTCACCCAGTAGGTGGCGGTAATGCTTCCCGACACAAGTTATCAACCACAAATATAAGAAACAAAGAAGAAGTCGCAGCCAATCAGATGGCAAAAACAAACCCTTTCACTAACGCTTAGTAAGCTAACCGGAGCATTTTCCAAAGTAAAAAACACTGCTTAATATAAATGTCACCGCTAGTAAGTAACTTCAATATTACCAGGGCGGTACATGTTAGTTACTGTACAGTTTGGTAGGTACATATTTTAATGAAACGTTTTATTATATTAGCACAAGCATAAATGAACTAGCAACAGTCGTTGTTTACACAGGGTTTTAGTCAAAGTTAGCCCGACTCCTTTTTGCTTGATTAAAGTTGAAAATGGCGTAAGTCGTGTAGATGTCTGACTGGAAAACGGATGAGCTGGACACGAAGATGGAAATGGCTGCCAAAGGTACGTTTAAAGTTGAGGCCAGCAACGTTAGCTTACCATAAAACGGCTATATTCAGTTTTCATTTCACATAAAAGGACACATTGGTTGTTTTTGGTTATAACTCTTCAGGGTGCGACATTTGAAATTGAACCGAACTTTTTAGTATTCACACATAACTTATTGATTTGGCACTCCTTTAAAGATTGCTAAAGAAACAAATGCATTGAATAAACAGGTTAGAAACAAAGCAGGAAAGGTCTGGCTGCTAAATTGTCAAAGCAATGATGTAAACTGGCATGTTTGTCTTACCCGAGCACTTTAAAGAATACCATTACAGACAGAAAAATGCAGATGTTGCATAAGGACAAAACTAATACAGATGTGTTTGTTGTGCTGACATGTCTGAATCTAGTTTGTTGTTTTCTAGGAAAGGCCAAAAGAAGGCACCTGAATGCAGAGGAGTGTGATGCACTGGGACAAAGTGCAGCGGGCACTAGTGCTCTCATCCAGCCCCACACTATCAACAAGGGGCCGGGCAAACGCGACCCCAACCGGGGGCTTTACCCCAAGACACCCACCAAGCGACGGAAGTGTGGTAATGTGCTGTAATTAATTGACACACGTGTACTCCAAATAACAATGAACAGACAGGTTGACATCGATGCGCTAATCATTGAATATAAGTTATTTCTCTCTCACTCCTTCTTCCACCAGCATCTGCCTCAGGAAGTCCTTCTGGGAAACAGAAGAGCATCGGCAGCTTCTTCCCCGTGACAGGAGTCATCCGCTCCAGTCCGCAGAAATCCTCTCAGCCCTGCACATCCACGTGCACAAATGGACCAAATAAAGAGCTTTTCAAAGGGCAAGAGGAGGATGATGACGATATGAGCCTACTAGCTGCTTCCTTGGCGGCAGAGCCTGAAGAAGAGGATGAGGTTGACGATGCCAGCTTGTTAGCTGCAGATTATCTGGAGGGGATGACAGCAGAGATGTTTGGAAAAGATGATGACTTTGATCAAAGTGACAGTGCAATACCCAACGAGGAAGAGGAGGTGGAGGCCCTCCCTGACGACCACTTTGGGCTCCTGGGATGCAGCAAAGTCCTCCAACAGCCCCAGGGATGCATAGACGATCTTCCAGAGGAGGTGCTGAGGCAAGTGATGTGCCTGGTGCCCGCCCAGGACCTCTACCGCAGTGTCATCCGGGTCTGCCGTCACTGGAGGGGCATCGTCCAGGACCCCAAGGTTCAACAAATCCCATTTTCATTAAGTTCTGTATTAGCACCAGGGTGAGGGGGGCAAGTGTTTATATCAGCAGCTTCCTAAATGAACATGGTAGACGTTTGAGAGATTGATAGATGACCTCTGTGTTGACATTAATGTATCCGTCTCTTGTGGTTGGATATTGACGTTGTAGTCCTACTCAAACTTATTGATGATGTGTGTTTGTGTGCCATTGTGCAGTTTGTCCCCTACAAGAAGAAATACTACCGCTTCATGATGAAAGAGAAGGTGACAGAGCTGGCGATCAGCTGCATGCTGAAAAACAGCGGAATAACAGATCCAGCGTCATCACAGCACAGCATCCGACGCCTCGCCGTGTAAGTCTGAGTTTCCTTAGTAACGGGCAGTACATGTATGAAGGAGAGTCTCTGTTATGTTTTCAATTAGAGATGAACCGCTGTAGCATCTCAAGGCAGATAACTACATTGTGTATAATTATCCGTTGTTATGGCCAACATTGAGGAGAAGCCTGAAAAAAGTATTTTACAGATACCAAAATGTCAAGATGATAATTATTATTGTTTTTATAATGACATCTTTATCTAATTATTATTATTATTATTATTATTATTATATTTGTGTTTAGCCTGCCTGAAACGCCCTGATCTGACATAATGACATCACTATGTAACACTCAAGCTTCTATTGGCTAGCGCTCTAAGACATTGTACGTGATTTATGGGACATTCCTTATGGTTAACCTTTCACAACAGAGCCGGCCAGCTAACCAATCAGAGCAGACTGGGCTCTGGTTTCAGACAGAGGGTGAAAAGAGGTGGAAACATGTCAGAGTATAGCCACAAAATACAAATATGAACCTGAAAATGAGCGTAATAGGGCCCCTTTAAATATTCACTGTGGTAATTATCTTGTGTGTGTATTGTCTTGGTCAGTTTAATGGCGCAGCATAAGATGGGAGAGCGTGTGAGGCCGGAGGATGTTCTGGAGCGTGTTAAGAAGCATCGGCTCTATCCTCAGGCTGAGGCCTCCATCAGATTACGCATCCCCGAAATTCTCAAGAACTTTAACCCTGGCATTGAGGTAGGACTCACCCATTCAGATACACAGCTGTCTCCTGTTGAAGTACGCCCATGAATCCTGAAACCTCACTTCCTTCGTGTCCAATCTCCAGGGTCCTAACCCCTATGCGGCCATGGCGGTCATATTGATCCTCAGTGAGAGTGTTGCGGACGTGCAGGCTTTGGTGTCCTTGCTCACCGGATACATGTCACGCACCGCCATCATAGAGTACCTCAGCCACATGGCCATGATGTTGCTCGCCATAAAGAGGAACATCGTCAAGATTAGCAACAGGTACGAGTTGAAAGTGTCAGCGCTTTAACGTCCCACATTGTTCTTGTCAGGTTCGCTACAATTCTTCTCTTTCTGATCCCTCAGGTTGCATTACAACATCTACTACGTCCTTCACCTGATGGAGAACAGCTCCTTTGCTGTCAGCTCCTCTCAGACTGGGTGAGCTGTCACTGACATGCAGGAGAAATACGCCAAGAGATAATGGAGATGTGAGGAGGTTTCACTTTTTAACATGTGTCTGTGTGTTATAGGACTCAGATTCAGCTCACAGGTGAACAGCAGCAGATCCTCAGCCATGACGTCCAGGCCAAACATGTGGTGAAGATCGTGGCTTTTGCAGGTACAGACGACACCATCCACATTCCTTTTTCTTAGTCAAATCTAAAACAATTAAATAACTAATACCGTCTATTGACAAATTAAACCAACTTAACATAGACATATTGTTACGCCCAGATCTAGGGAACCTAGGCGCAGCATAAAGTTTGCACTCTCCCCACTTCCAAGAACATGGACACTGAGACAGTGAATGCCGTTGGTAATTTTAATTACCTAGTTTTTAACAAGGAGGCGAAACAACCCACATACCGCTATAAACAAACAAATCTTGGCACGCATAACTCTTGCCTAACAAATAAGAAAACAAACGTACAGGCTTCTTACCTACCCTGACGTAAAAACAGGAGAAAACGAGAATTAAACAAAAGAAAAGGGTTTCGCACTCCTGGGAAAATCAAAGCGTGTCTTAAAAGACAGGTTAAGTTAGTTTATCTTTCCAAGGTTCCAAAATATACAAGAGGACCGGTGTACGGTATATAAGTACACCCACAGCACAACAGGACAGATATAAATACGCAACAGTGTTGGGAGTAGGAGAAGTTGAGTCAGAGAGAGCGGCCGAGGAACTGCACGGCTGCAGCTTAATATGCTCCCGTCTCCTCAGGTGGACCAATCAGCATGCAGAAGGTAGCTAATCAGCTAACGGGCACCACCTGCTTGCTCACACACACACACGCACACACACACACACACACACACACACACACACACACACACACACACACACACACACACACACACAGGAGGAGGGAAAAATATACACACAAATGACCTAACGACCCAGGGTCGTAACAATATTAAATAAGACATGGATCCCTGCCCCACCTGCAGTGCATGTTTGTAACGCTATCCTATACGTGAAACACTGTAACTGGTTTTGAAAAAAAAGTGCTATACAAAGTTATTATATTATCATTATTAATATAACAATCATTATTATTGTAATATGAAGGTTAGTTCAAATTTAAAGTGTCAAACATGACAAGGAGGCGTCCTTTTTCTGTTTCATTCTTACAATACTTTTTCAGGGTTTTTATCCCATGGAGATGATGTTATGGTTGGGTTGCATGCCCAGCTCTGAAAAATAAGAAAATGTTATCAAATGTTGTAATATAATGGATATTGAGCAACCAGGTTAAACATTTTTGGGTATTTAATTGTCATTTTATAGTTGCATTGGATGGATGTGCTGGTAATGACATGTGGATGTGTGTCTGTTGGTTTGTCTGTATAGTTGTTAATGTGATGGAGACTGTGCAATATTGTTGCATGTAATTACATGTTTATAGTGTCTGTGGATTGTTTGCATGCCCAGGGGCTGCAGACAGAATTAACTTTAAACACAATCTGTCATCAACCCTCTCTTTTAAAAGGTTGACTAATTGAATCATGTTTTGTTGCCTTATTGCAGTACTAATTGCATGTTGCAGAAAGTGTCTTTACATTTTGAAACTCACAGATGATGTTTAAATGTGAGAGATGATCTGTGAGCTCCATGCCGTCTGCCGCAGGTACGGGGAAGACCACCACGCTGGTGAAGTACGCCGAGCAGCGGCCGCACCTCCGCTTCCTCTACGTGGCCTTCAACAAGTCAGTGGCCACTGAGGCGCAGCGTCGTTTCCCCAGCAACGTGGCCTGCAAGACTGTCCACTCGTTGGCCTTCACTGACGTTGGGTGGAGGTGAGAAGTTTCCCCTCAGATAAATACAGACTGTGGGAATTGATTTTGTTTGTGTGTGTCTGAGACCAGTATTTACAGGTTCCTGGCGGTTTCTTGGTCATTCTCCCCAGCTGTCCTGATTTGTGGTTGCAGGTTGTTCCTGTTTATGACAAACACTTGAAAGCATTGGTGTATTAAGCCTTTGTAAAATATGAAAGTTCACATTAAAAAGGTTAACCTAGTAATGATTAAATCAGTCAGATTTGATTTATAGGGCCAATAATCGCATATTAGACATTTCTCTCAGGGGTTTAACAGTGTGTGCAGCATACATCACCCTCTGTCATTAGACCCTCGTACCAAACAAGGTCCAAAGAGACCCCACAATTACTATTTAATGGAAGAAACCATGGGAAAAGCAACAGAGAAGGGATCCCTCTGTCAGGATGGACAGACGTGCAATAGTTGTTGTGTGTACAGAAATTAAAAAAGATGATACTTAGACAATCCAAATAACAAAAAGATAATATGAACATACATAAAAATAAAAAATGGATCCAGAAGAAAGTCAACATTCTTCCTTGTCCCTATAAATATTCTTAAATGTAAATCCCTCAGTGTGATCTAGGATACATCCTTGATCACATTCAGAGTGATCTTAAAGAGGCCCTATGCTGGTCCAACAGTTGTTATTCCAATAGAAACATCTCTTTTTCTTGGAGTTTATCAGATGTTGTCAATCATTTGTTGTGCTCCTGTGATCTGCCCTCTCTGCAGATACCGCCAGAAGCTGACCTGTAACATGAAGCCGTTCACCATCAGCTCCGTTCTGCCTCCAGGCCGGGGGGGCTTTGCCAAGGCCAAGGTGGTGACCACCACTCTCAACGCCTTCAAGGCTTCCACAGACGAGTGCATCAACATCAGCCACGTCCCCATGTCCCGCATGGGGAAGAACGGCCGCAGGAAGATAATAACCGACTATGAAAGAGAGGTATGTGCGTGACTGTACACACTGCGCACCTTGAGTGTGAATAAATCATGCATTCAATATTTCATTCTGCAATCCTAGTTGTTTGTGCAAGACACGCGAAAGATCTGGATCAAAATGAAGGATCTGACTAAGACCAAATCAGACGACCTCCCCATGACCCACGATGGTACGAAATGAGTGAAGTAAATTGGTTGTAATGTTGAAGGGAATGCTGTACAGGTGGTCATCACAACTTTCATTCCCAGGATACCTGAAGTTATGGCAGCTGCAGAGACCCTGCCTGTCTGACCAATACAACGTCCTTTTCATCGACGAGGCTCAGGACTGCACTCCAGGTAACAACTTAAAGAGGCCCTATTACGCTCACTTTTAGGTTCAGATTTGTATTGTGTTCCTCTACTGTGACATGTCTCCATGCTTTAATGTTCAAAAAGCTCTTTATGTTCCTCATACTGCCTGTGCTGCAGCACCTCTTTTCACCCTCTGTCTGAAACCAGAGCCCGGTCTGCTCTGATTGGTTAGCTGGTCGGCTCTGTTTTAACCGGTCAATCGCTTAGAGATGTCCCGCCCCTTAGACTATAACGTACAATGTGTTGGAGCGCTAGCCAATAGAAGCTTGAGTGTTACATAGTGATGTCATTATATAACAGAAGTAAACCAAGGAGTCCAATGAAGGCATATCAGGCGGGGGGGGGGGGGTGTGGGAGAGAAACTCCCTCTGGGGGGAACACAGGGATATTAGCCTTTACAGACCACAACAACCTATATAACATACTACAGGAAATGGAAAACCTCAAAATGCATATAGGGCCCCTTTACCAGTGCTGCAGGACTGTAGAGGGCACCATTGTGATAATTTAGCTGAACTCTGTGATGGTGATGAATTCTTCTTTTCCCTTTCTCAGCCATCATGGATGTGCTCCTGTCTCAGCGCTGTGGGAAAATCCTGGTGGGAGATCCTCATCAGCAGATCTACACCTTCAAAGGAGCGGTCAATGCCCTGCACATTGTCGACCACACACACATCTTCTACCTGACACAGGTATACACCAAATGTAGATGTCTTTCTTCACTTGAGTATCTCAGTTTAGTGTTAACAGAAACAAAACGAAAAACAGTTCGAATGGCCCAAAGAATGATGGGAACTGTAGTGCCACGGCTAAAAAACAATTGATCCCAGTTGAAAAAAGACAGTGTAAAACCACAAATAACACCATATTGTTACTAAAGCATATAATGTGTGTCCTTTATTTATCAGGAGTTGTATACTAATCATGCATGTTGCTGATGTCTTTGTTCAGAGCTTTCGCTTCGGTGCTCAGATCGCCTACGTGGGCGCGACCATCCTCAAAGTGTGCAAGGGAGTGGATAAGATTCTTGTGGGAGGAAATCAGAAAGGTAATTACTGCAGTAATGTGTATTAATTTCAATTTTTGATGCTTAAATCAAATGAAATTCTATCACCAAATACAAATTGGCCTCAGAAAAAGACACCCTCTGTACTCGATGAATTAGGAAAATACTAGTCACAGTTGTGTTAGCGTGTGTGTGTGCTACATGTCCGGTGTGCAGGCGGTGTGTGTGACGAGACGGCAGACGAGGCGGGAGCAGCGGTGAGTTCGGGTGCCAGTCTCAGTCAGGGGAAGACGGCCATCTTGACAAGATGCAACCTCAGCGTGTTCAGTGAAGCCGTCCGACTCACCGACGCCAACCCGCAGTGTCGCATCCACTTCATAGGAGTGAGTCAGCGTGTATGCACTACAGACACACACAAGAAAGACTAGCATGAAGGCACGTCAATTTGACTTGTACTCAACACTCAATTTTCTTCCATCAGGGTGTGACTAGTATCGGCCTGAATAGGATCCTGGACATCTGGAAGCTGTTTGAAGGGGCGAGAGAGGAGACGCAAAGCTCGAAATGTGAGACTAATGCACACATTTACTCTTTCCAAGTTTAGACGTTTTTAACCTTTTGACTAAATATCGGACATGCTCTGCTTTCAGTCATCAACGATCCCTTCATCCGCTCATTTGCCAAGAATATGAAGAGTGGCTACTGGGCCCTGAAGTCGTACGCCACACTGACCGAGGACTTGGAGCTGGACGGCAAACTCAAAATGGTTGAAAAATACGGAAAGCGCATCCCTGAACTGGCCTCTCGCCTGGAAAGGTGCTTTGAAGAAAACTTCCACCAAGCAGGTATTTGAAAAGTGTATTAAAGTGTATTTTAAAGTCTCGGCATGTTGGAAACTTACAGATATGATATAATGTTACTTCACTGGCACATTAGAAGATATGTTTTAAACAATATATTTCTTATGCACAAGTCATTTTTCTCTCCTCTGTATAATGCACTCGACTCATGAGTTGTTTCCCCTGCTACTGTTTGTTCCAGACTTTATCGTGGGAACAGTGCACAAGGCCAAGGGTCTGGAGTTCGACACTGTGATGGTCACCGATGACTTTGCCAAAGTTCCTGGTTCAAGACACAATCTGCACTTTAGACCAGATTTCTCCTTTGGTACGTTTCCTTCACAAAGACATTTCGTTATTGGGGGCTTTTTAATTTAACCAAAACTTAAAGAGGCCCTATGCTTTTGGGTTTCTACTTTTCCTGTAGTGGGTTATATTGTTTTTTGTGCATGTAAATGGACATAAAAAGCAGACTGGGCTCTGGTTTCAGACAGAGGGTGAAAAGAGGTGCTGCAGCACAGGCAGTATGAGAAAAATAAAGCACTTTTTGAATATTAAAGCATGTTAACATGTCACAGTAGAGGCATACAATACAAATATGAAACCTGAAAATTAGCAGAATAGGGCCCCTTTAATATCGACTAACATTAAGATATTGCACAATTACATGCTCCCCTAGGGCCACCTCATTTGTAGACACAACATCAGTTACGCAGACAAAACCAAATATCTATTTACGCTGGGACCCGGCAAACAACTTTCAGAACAATGGTAGCCTCCGAAACTGCTTTTAGGAAATCCTCAAATGCTATTAATGTCCTGCTGCTAAATGATGATAAGACAGAAATAAGGCAAGCCAATAATATCAAACTGTCTTGGCTCTCTGTCCAGGTCAATTGCAGAAATGTTGGTGTCATATTCAACAACCCACCCAAGTCAAATGAATTAGAATGTAAAAATAGGACCATTTCCAGTTATATCCTCCTTCATCACCAGTAGATAAGGACTACTGTTATTCTAGCATCAGCAAATCCCCCTCCCGCCTCCAGCTCATCCAAATGTATGCTGCTGGGGTTTTAACTCGAAAATACAACCACATCACTTTCCTATTAAATGTGTTCTCTGTAATCGGTTTGATACGTGGTATATAAACAAAGTTTGTTATTGTTCTGATTGAATTTGATCTCAAAAGTCTGTATTTCTTCTCTCTCTCAGATGAAGTTCCTGACGATGAGTGGAACCTGCTGTATGTGGCGGTGACTCGAGCCAAGACGACTCTGATCATCACAAAGACCATCCGTCGCATTCTCACCGAGGCAGGGGTGAGGCAAAATCACTCGCTACCTACACACCTCTGTGTTAAGAGACTCAGAAAGTGTCAGGAAAAAAAGATTCGCTCACTTTTTGTCCTGATCCATTTATATAAAAACGTGTCTGAAAATGAGCTGATCAGATTTCGGCCACTTTGTGATATCACAATGTGTTTTTGGCTTGTTTAACCATTAGCCAATAACCAACCAAGGTAACACTCCCCCTCTATATCACCTGCATCTCCTGCTCGAGCACCATTTGTCGTTTTCTTTTTTTAAACCAAACATCTTGCAGAGGGGCGTGGTGTGTCGCAGCTCATTAGCATTTAAAGCTACAGACACTGAATCAGGATGTTTTGTATAGATCTGAGACCTGTAATATATTGTTGAAATAGAGTATAATAGGGGACTTTTAACAGAAACCATACAAAATGCAATTACTATCATGTTTAGGTTTTCCCCTGCATTTCTACTTCCCCCTGTCAGAGTTAGACCAGCTTCTCCCTAAACATCTGCCAGCCTAAGCAGTTTCACATCCGGAACCCAAATGAACTGTTTCAGTGGTAGCAATGGGATTTATTAGTTGGTTATTTCAGGTTATTACATATGACTTCTATAGGTATAGAGTGGGGCAGTGATGACGTCTTTGTGTAGGCCGACATGGAAGTCAGAATAGAACATTTCCTCAGCCTTTCATCAGACCTTATTTCAGGCTTCTAACCACAAACACATTAAAACCCATTGAGACGAGGGAAGTGCAAGTGGTCGAATGCTTTATCCTTTCCGGGTTTTAGGACTCGACCACTCTATTTGTGCCGGAATATAAGTAAAGTGGTGTAGCCCACATTGCACGATTTATGCTTCATCAAGCGCTTTGAGCACCAGGAGAAGCGCTATATAAATAACATGTATTATTATTATTATTATTATTATCAAAGATTACTTGATATACCTGGAGTTACAGGCGTAATGGAGCAGCAGAGGCAGTAAGTTAAAGCAACTCACTTTTTAGTCCCTCAAAAGTGCTTTTAGAAAGTGTTTTTGACATCCAGCCAGCAGATGGTGTGTGTCAGGCCACACTGAAAGCAAAGATAAAAAACAATGGCCAAAATGTGTCTGACATTTCTCTATTAGCACTTCCCATTGCGGTCATACAAGTTATATAACAGATGTTCTGTTGATGACCTGAACAGTGCAGAGAAATAAAAAAGACACTCTGCTGGAACCACAGTATACAATACAATACAATACAATACAGCTTTATTTCTAAAGCACTTTAAAACCTCCAGACCAAAGTGCTGTACAGTCAAATAAACAAACAAAACATACACATAAATCACACAGCACAGCTCACACATCATAAAACAAGTACAAGTCAAAAACAATAGACAAATTAAAAGCAATAAACACAACAATCTAAAAGATGTCAATACGCTAAGGAGAAGAGGTGGGTTTTAAGAAGTACTTAAAGACCACAACTTCCTTTCAATGGACCTTAAAGATTGATGGACTAATCTCTGGAGCTCGACATGAAGGCTAAATGTTTAGCGGGGGTTGGTCTGGGCCGGGTGTGAGGCCAACAAAGTGTCCGCCCCCCCCCGCACCCAGCCTGTGGATACGGTTCTCTGCTTCCTTTCTTTTCTCAGCACACATGGGGCTCAGCATCTGCTCCTCGTTAAGTTGTTGGAAAAGGCCAAACAATTGTTGCAACAGTTGTTCACTTTACATCATGATGATCGTAAGTTTATGTCCTCTGCAGGAGTACTTTCTGAAATCGGAGATGCCGAGCACCTTGATGAAGCAGGGCGATCCGCTCCCGTGCTGCATCCCAGACTGCCCAAACTGCACCACCCCAGGATCAGCCTTCATCATGTGCAAACAACAGATGAAATGTGTAAGAACATATCCTCCTCACTAACATTAAAGGGGACCTATTATGCAAAATCCACTTTTTCATGTCTTGTATACATCAACATGTGTCCCCTCTGTGTAAAGAGATTCTGAACGTTTCAGGAAAAAAGATTCTCTCACTTTTTGTCCTGATCCATTTATATAAAAACCTGATTTTGGCCACTTTTATGATGTCATAACGATATTTTGGCTTGTGTAACCATTAGCCAATACCCCCCCCCCCTCCTTATCACCTGAATCTCCTCCTAGAGCACCATTGTGTTCTTTTTAACCAAACATCTCTCAGAGGGACGTGGGGAGTGGCTCCTTATTTTCATCTAAAGTAACAGACAGAGAATCAGCACTTTGGAAACAGGGCTGAAACAGAGGGGGTTATGGGATGCTACAATGCATGATCTGTTTGGTATTTCGAGCCAAACACTTCAGAGACATGTTTTGTATATATCTGAGAACTATAATATATTGATGAAAAACAGTATAATAGGGGACCTTTAAAACCAGCCTCAGAAAACAACATATTTTATTCTAACTGCCTTTCATTTACAGTAATTTTGAATAGCCACTTAGCATTTTGTGATATTAAACTAGAGGTATTTTTTTGTCTGTTTTTAGTCAGACGGTGTGGCTGCTGGCGGCCCACTGTGCGAAAGGTGTGTGTGGACGCGGGTGGGACCAATCGCCTTCCTCATGACCGACGACGTGCAATCCATGGCGGAGATACCACATAGACTGGGCCAGCAGGTCCACCACATGATGCTGGTGGCCCTTTTTTAACACTACTCTTCTTAAAAGAGTTCAAATGAAAACTTTGTGAGACAATCGTTTTTGTTTAGTGGAGAAAAGACTTCAGCCAGAAAAAACGTGCTGTTCGCTCAACCAGACAAACTGAAAATGTTTTAATTGTTCTCTGTAATGCATGGTTACATTGTGACTTTATGTTTATATTTCTTTTTTTAATGAGGAATCTGAATGTCGCCTTATGCAGTTGAGGAGGATTGTGTAACTGCTGGAAGACTTGTCTACTTTGTCTAAAAACAACTTTTGTGAGTGTCGTTATTCTCCGATCAAACTGAGATGAATTGTTTTTTTAATGCTTTTAAAAAAAAAAGGTATCTAACAAGATCAAACGCATATTTTTGTAGAAGAATACTCATTACAATGCAGTGGGATACACTTAATCCTGTTCGGTCTGCTGAGCAGCTGCTCTCACTTAGACATCATTTTAGTTAATGGCCCAAAACCTTTATTGTTCCTTTAAGAGAATGAGCATCTACTACAACTAGATAAAAACTGTTCTTTGTCACGTTATTTTCATGACAGTGACACCACCAACACTGGAAGTCTAACTGTACAGGTCATGAACAGGAAGTGCTGCCTTTTTATAAATGACTTCATAGTGAAGTTACATTTCTGAACTGCAGAAGTGAAAAATATAAACAAGCATGATGTTCCTCTTCTAGAGCGGGTGGGCGTCACTCATTGTACTAAAACCATTATAAACAAGAATAGACCGTTTTTTAAAAAGAAATACTTTAATGATTATACAAATGCACAGTACAGCGCAACAAGAGATACAGGAACACAACAATCATCTAAATAATGAAAGCTGCTCTGATAAGAGGACTTTTTTCTGATCAACAAAACTTTAAGGAAACACTTGTATGAAAAAGAAAAGTTCATAAGCATAGCAACAAAGCTGAATATTTTAGATTGCACATTTTACACGAGGCATAAAGAAAAAGCTTTAGAGTGAGATTAAATAAGTGTTAACTGCTTTATTTTCATGATATAGGAATCGTTTACTTTCCCACTATTCATTCGCAGACCTGAACCTGCTGTTGTGTTTTTCATGTAATGCTTTGGTGCTCTTAGAGGAAACAAATATTCTGTTAATTTCATTGTACTAAAGTGGCTGCAAAAATCTCAGAAATAAGATAAACGGTATCCTGTAATGGATGGATCACATTTTTAAGTGGTAATGCTCTGTAGGTTACTGACCGTCTTTGTTCAGTGCATGGTTCAGTACAACCTCTACACAAATAACATCAGGCTTAGCATTTCAGATGAGTAACACATAAGAGATGAAGAAATATAGGCGTTCACAGTAAGCTACGTTTGCTAAATAGTTGGAGAGTTAATCTTGAAGCTATAAATCTATTCATTGGACTATGATACCATATTTGCTGATATAACAAAGTATGCCACAATAAGGTTTTGATAGCAGCCAGTGACCTGAGGCAATATAATATGCTCATTCAACACAATTACATTTCTACAAGCTCATAAAAAGCTACTCAGATATTATTTGACAGTTGTATCACTACTTATTCGGATGACCACAGATATGAATATCAAAATAAAGGCACATCTTACTATGGTCCTTAAAATTAGCCTATCGTAGTTAGCATTTTGCCCTTTGGGTAGCTTCTTAGCCTGCAGTGCTGACTCCCAGATCATGAGGTGAAGGAAAAGTTGGTTCCCTACCTTCTTCTCTGTCTTTAGAAAATGGCTGAATGCTTCCCATAAACCACTGGGAACTGCGGTTTTAAGCAAGGTTTTTCTTTAGTGAAATGTTAGGGCCTTTTTTAGATGCTAATGTGATCATTGGTGCGGCCCACTTATGTGTTTCAATCATTTCTACAGAACAATGGAACTCTGGCACAAGGCAATAAGATCTATAAACACCATACCTGTAGTTGGGAATTGATTAATTGCTTCTTTTTGTAATTTCATGGGATTTGAAGACAATATCACCAATATACATCTACATCTTGTAGCACCAGAAGATCACAGAGTCTTCAACAATTAAAGTTCTTCAGATGAAGATGAAATCTTTGGTTGAGATCTGCTCATTAAAAAGTCAGTTTAACTTCATACGTCATTCATGTGATTTACACAGTCTAATAACCCATTCTCCTGTCAGTCACGTGGATCCATTTTCATGGGCATCTGTTCATCCGTCTGCTGAGGGATCTCGTTTTTGGACCTCCTACGGCATGAAGGAAAAAGTAAAGGGATCATAAGCAGTACAATATGTCAATAATTGGACATTTAACCAAATTGCTATGATGGATAAACACGCAAACTGTTTGTTCTCTGCAGTTTCATGCCTCAATCTGAGTTTTCTCATCACATGAAACAGTTTGCTGGGACATAATTGCACACATTCAAACACAGAGGTATGTGAGCATGCTTACCTTTTATAGAAAAAGAAGCTGATTCCCACCAAAGCACAGAAAATCACCAGTGAAGCACAGCCGATCACAAGTCCTGCCAATAAGAGAGAAATACTCAGTGTTTTTCTGGCTCTCAAGCTGCAACCACCACGAGCTAGCACAAATGGGTAGAGTGACTTACTGGGGGTCGTGGAGGAGAGCATTCCCGGAGTAATTGTCCCGTTGTTGGACGCCTCAGTCGTGGTGGAAAGTGTGCCGTGCGATGTGGATGCTTTGGTCTCTGGCATGGAATCTACCGTCCCTGTTGTGGAAGAAAACAATTATCTTATTCCCCTGTTGCTCAGTTATTAATGAGGCAGTCCAGAAAGGATAATGTCCCCAACTAATGCTGTTTCGTGTATGTTTGAAAAAAAACAATGGCTCAGCGTAATGTGTAAAAGTCCAACTTTTCTATCTAACAGGATAGATTCTGAATGGATATATGGCTTGATCCAACATTAAAATATCCCAAATTATTCATGTATTTATTGTAACTGATTATCTTAATAAATGCCATGCAACACAATAAATAATAATCAAATTGTTTATCTTTTACAGAAGTCTAACAGATACAGGCCCGGGCTTGTATGAGAGCAACTGTTGGCAACATGCAGTGCCGTTAAACTGGTTAGCAGATTACCCTGGGAGGATCCGGGCGGGGCAGGAGAGGAAAAGGTGGAGCTGGAGGTGGGCTCTGCACTCAGGGGGGCTGACGGCTGTATACTCTGGCTGGTCTGAAGACTGCGGGAAGCTGATGTGGATAACAAAATAAATGTACTTCTACTAATACTGCTTAGAGATGACTGCGACATACTTTTTAACCTTGAAACTGTAAGAATCTTTGAATACTTTCATATAATATGCCACATAATTCATAACAAAAGGTAAAAAACACATGCCAGAATTTGTTTTTTTTATATATTAGTATTCATACTACTGTTATAAGTGCTTATGTTAGCATATGGCCGTTTCCTCCACTTGCTACCATAGTGTAACCACTATGTATGTATGTATAGTATCTTGAATTTACTAGTTCAATTCTGTAAGGCCAAAATTATGACTATTTTGTTAGTTAAAGCCTTACTTATCTTACTAGTTAACTCAACATGTTTACTATTCAAACTAGTGAAATTCCTCACTGGTTGGCTAGTCTTTTGACTTGCATGCTAAATCAATGTCTCACGAGCATGCCTAACACAGAGTCGCTCACGAGTGCGTAGAAAGGCTAAACTAGTTAAAGGGAAGGTTAGTGAACTAGTACAAAAAACATCAGTGACCCTGAGTGTGCTAGTATATCTAGTGGACGTGTTGGCACTAGTAAACAAGTACACACTTTGGGCCTCACTAGCAAGTAAATTAGTAGGCTATACTTAATCAGTGAGCTGAATCAATGTTTGACTTTCAGTTACATTCGTGCTTCCTCTGCCTCTAAACCACATTTTCTGACTCTACACAGGAACATGATAACATGTATCTGCGCACAAGATCATAATGATGTTGTGCAATTAACACAGTTTGTCAGATGTAATAACCAGTTTGGTCTCACCACTATCATGCTCCTGAAATGTCTCGGGGGCATTGTCATAAACTTCATGAATGTTGCATTCAAATATTGAACCCTCTCTTTTATCCTCCCTCCCACTAATTTAAACATGGAGCAAAGTACTTACTCAGAATACATTAGAATGAGCTAAGTATTCTGTTAAGTAGCAATGGTTTTCATTATGTTTGTGTTGATTTAGTTGGTACTCATTTCAACCATAACTCCTACAATGCAATGTTACCAGTACATTATGGCTTCTGATAAACCTTCCACTGATTTGATTACTACTAACTTTACTACTGCTTCTAATTATTACCACTGCTGCACACATGCATGTGTCACTCTTTCAGTTCCATCATTAGTGCTTTTTTATTGTTAGTAGGCCTATTAGTATTTTTCTAGTATAGTAGTAGTATTTTCTTCATACTGAGATAGAACTCACTGACTGTGGAGGAAACGGTGGATTCATGGGGGATATGGACATGGGTGGGTCCCGCTGCAAGATCAGAGCATTATTCATAAATGTGAAACACACACTTCTGTCCAGCTCACATTGAAACATAGCACTTGGAGCTTACACTTACTTGTTGCTGTGCTCTTGGGGGGTGCTGTGGTTCTCTTTGGGTCAACTGAAAAAACACAAATAACAAGTTGAAACTTGAGAGCATGAAAAAGCCGGAAAGATGATAAGGATTGTGGATTATCACTATCACTATCAAAAACAACGCACTCTACCCTTCCAACAATGTGACCTGTTAGTGTGATTTGCCTGGTGAAGGAAATAAAACACTTTCTATTTTAGTTTCAAAGCTAACGCTCAGAGTACCTCACACTGTACGCCGATGATATACTGCTCTTTGTCTAAAATGTACCCCCGTTTCTTCCCGCCCTGCTAAATATATCTGGAAACTATCTTCGACCAACCCCAACCATCAAATTATTTATTTATTTCTTCTATCATAGTTCGACATAGTACAGTCCTCTCAGGTTTTGTGTAATAAAAGCCACACATTCAATAAAAGGCAGCTTGTGCACTGACGAGGCTTCAGTTATATCCTGATATATGGTCTATGAGTAGGGCTGTGCGATTATGGCAAACATCCTAATCACGATTATTTTGGTCAATAATTGATATCACGATTATTAAAAACGATTATCCATTTACTTTGAAAACATCCATTTACGTCTGCTTTTAGATGTATTATTAGTGTAAGGTGCTTAAAATAGTCTCGTACACATATCAGTATCTACATTTCAAAAGAAATACATCACCATGTTTTACATACTCCCACTCCTTTTTCTACAAAACCAGTCTAACCCTGCAGTACAGAGACAGCAAACTGCTCTCTTACATTTAAATTAATGTTGAGTTGGAGCCAATAAATCGTGCTGTTTAGACAAGTAATGATTAAGTTGCATCTGCTTATGTTTCGACTCTCTGACGCCTGCGAGCGAGCTGAGGTTTAGCACCTTTACACAGCTAAGGTATAGCTTCTTTCCATTGCAGGAGCTGAACTTTCCAGGTGTTAGAGTCCCCAGTGATAGCAGGAGACCATCCTCCTCTCTCCATTCCCCCACCGCAGGACCCACACTCAAGGCAGGAAAAACATAATCATGTCCCTTTCTCCACTGGTCAGCCAGATCTGCATCCAGAGCAAAAGTCCAGTGGGATGGCGACAGCGACTGCCACACCTCATCTACCAGGTTCTCCAGAACTCAGGTTGATCGAATGCCCGTCACCTCAGCCAGTTTTTCTGTGGAGATCCCTATCAAATGGCCAAGTTTTACCACTCCCGCTTCAATGAACGCATTTTTTAGGGTGGCCGAAGAGAAAAGGGTTCCAGAAAGAAAACCAGTGTCAAACAGTGGCTCCTCAAACAGCCACATCCCAGGCCGGGGGTCCGGTGGTCTGGTAAAACTCAGAATCTTCCAGGCATTGATGACTGAGCAGTAAAAAGGTGCAAGTCCAGTTATCATGTACGCAGGGGCCTTCAGCAGAAACAGGTGTTTATCAAAACCAAAGCCCCCTGCCCTCCAGAGCAACAGCCGGGCAGTAGCCAGCCAGCAGGGAGAGGCACCATACAGCAGCCGCTGAGCTGCCTGCAGTCTAAAAGCAGCAGTCCTCGCAGTAATGTCCACAAGGCCCTGCCCCCCTTCCGTCACAGGTAGGTACAGGACCGATGCTGGCACCCAGTGATGACCCGACCAGAAGAAATCCACGAGGAGCCGCTGCAGTTGTTTCATGAGGCCCGGTGGGGTTAACACCTGGAGTCTGTGCCACAGAGATGAGGCAACCAGATTGTTGGCTACAAGAACTCTTCCCCTGTAGGACAGCTGGGGTAGCAGCCATTTCCATTTGGCTAATTTTGCTTGCACCTTTCCCAGCAATCCCTCCCAGACCCCAACCAAACTCCCAGGACCTTTAAACCCTTGTTTCCCCAGCTGAGGTTACCAGGAAGACTGGGCCTATTTCCTACACTCCTCTGACCTACCAAAACTGCCTCACTCTTCTCCCAGTTAACTTTGGCTGAAGCAGCCTGGATATCTCGCTGACCCTGGATAAAAACACTGACATCATCAGCATAAGCTGATACAACCACCGGGGGGGGCCTGAGCTGACTCTGGCAGACACAGGCCCCTCAGCCGGTTTCCAAGTCTGCACAAAAGGGGCTCGATGGCAATACTATATAATAGGCCTGAGATAGGGCAGCCCTGCCTGATCCCCCTTTTAACTGGTACAGGTCTGCTCAGCCCTCCCCCCACCTTCACAACACAACATGCATCACTGTACAAACACTTCACCCAGGACAAAAAATGCTCCCCAACACCAAAAGCCTGCAATGTGGCAGCCAGAAAAGTGTGATCCACACGATCAAACGCCTTCTCCTGGTCAATAGAAATAATACCAACATTTATATTATACAGTTTGCAAACATCAAAAGTGTCTCTCATCAAAAACAAATTGTCCACAATTGATCTGCCAGGGATGCAATATGTCTGATCAGTACCAATAAGAAGTTTGATAAAACACTTCAGTCTGTTAGCTAAAACCTTTGACAGTATCTTATAGTCCGTCCGTACATAAGAGAGCCACAGGTCTCCAATTCTTCAGCAAGGTTACATCTCCTTTCTTAGGCAACAGTGAAATCACAGCACGCCTACAGGAAGCTGGAAGAGTCCCTTTCCCAAAGGACTCCATCAATACGTCTAACAAGTCATGTCCTAGAATACTCCAGAAATGTTTAAAAAAGTCTGCAGGTAAACCGTCTATGCCCGGAGCCTTGCCGGAGGCCATCTGTGTCACCGCAGAGGTCAGTTCCTCCAGAGTAATGTCAGAGCCCAGGGTGTCACTTTCGGCTGGACTCAGCTGTGGAAGACCCTGAAGAAGTTCATCAGCAGCTTCCACGTCACAACCTTCGGCTTTGAACAGGTCCGTGTAGAAGGACACTGCATGCCTCCTCATCTCAGCAGGTTCAGAGGTTACCTGTCCATCGGGGAGACGCAGACATACCATCTGCTTCCTTTGGCCCACATACCTCTCCAGGTTGAAGAAAAAGGTGGTTGGTGCATCAATGTCTCTCATGGAAGTAAAACGGGCTCTGATCAGAGCTCCCTTGGCTTTCTCCTGAAGAAAACAGTTAAGCTGTTGTTGTTTTAGGAGGGACTGTTCTATATTTCGAGCAGACACACTCTCTAACTCTCTGATCTCCCTCTGTGCTCTATAGCTCTCCTAATGTTTGCAGTGGAGTAGGCTGTATACTGTTGGCAGAACACTCTAATCTGAGCCTTTCCTACCTCCCACCACTGACTCAGGGAGGGAAAAGACTCTTTCTTTGATTTCCAGTTGATCCAGAACAATTTAAAATTCTCACAGAAAATCAAATCTTGTAAAATTTTAACATTAAACTGCCAGAACGAACTAGCTTTCTCTGTGTTGGATAAAACCAAATCTAAAGAAATTAGCTGATGATCTGTAAAACCAACAGGTTGGATGTGACAGTTCACTGCACGAGTAATAAAAGAAGCAGACATGTAAAATCTGTCTAGCCTGACTGCACTGACGCTCCCATCTAGCATTCTCATCCTGGTGTATTGTTTAACAGAGCTTGTCTTTTAATAACTGAAACACAGATACACGTGCAGGGCCCTGATTGGGTGTGTAAACATTAATAAAAGTGAAAATGAACTCTAACAGTTCCACTTTCACCATCAAGGCTCTACCTGCCACTATCTCTGTGCTCACATCTTAACATTTAGAGAGGGGGAGAAAAAAACAGCTACTCCAGCACTAAGGTTTGAGCCATGACTGAGTACATACTGACCCCCCCCCCACCACATCCCCCAGTCCGTCTCATTCAGGCTATCACTGTGCGTTTCCTGCAGAAATATCACATCTAATTTTTTCTAATTAAAGACCTCTAACACTAAAGCTCTTTTCTGTGCACTTCTACCCCCGTTCATGTTTAAAGAAGCAACCCTTAAAGCTTGCATTAGAGGAAGGAGACAGAGAAAAAGAACAGACAGGTACACACAGCAGAGAGGAGACACCCAGTGTTGCATGATCATGTTGAAATTATTTAGACCTTTTCAGTTTCTTCCCTCTTTTGCTTCCTTTCGTACCTTTTTTCATAGCAGTTACATGCTTCCTGAGACGATAGCGTTTCTTTTCATCCAGCAGGTCTAACCCTAAAACTTTCTGAAGAGTGCTCACTGTATGAAGAAACTTGTTAGTGTCAGGGAAAAAGTCTCTCACTTCCACTGACTTGCCAAAAGACTCATCTAAAAAGACATTAATCTCTTCCAAAGAATATATCTCTGCGTTCTGAGAGACTATCTGCAACTGAAACACAGTCAGAATCCCCCTCACCGTCCGTGTCCATCTCTGTCACCTCATTATTGTCTGCAGCCTGTTGAAGCTCTTTTTGCCACCCAGAGCCAGACGGCAGCCCCTGCTGTGTGCCAACAGCCTCCACCTGTCCCACAGCACCAGTCCTCACCTGTCCTGCTACATCATCTCCCACCCGTTTACCTGTTTCCACATTCTTTCCTCTCACACTCACCACACTCTCTACAGTCCCTGTTTCATCTCTCACGATATTCATCCCTACTTCATCCGCAGCCCTGGCCCCGGCTGCCCCGGGCTCAGCGGCCCCGGGCTCCGCTGCCCCGGGCTCAGCCGCACCCGGCGGATATATTCCTCGTTTAGCATTAATCCGCTCTCGATAAGTTCCGTCACATATTTCTGGTCTTTCAAAAAGACTATGACCGCTTTGTTCATGCGGGAAGCATAGGAGATGTTTACATGACCGACCTGATCCCCCACAGCCAGCAGCACCTGCTCCACTGTGCTTGCGGCCTGAGCCACCAACCGCACTCCGTGTCTCAGAGACACCGGCGGCGCCCCGAAGGACGCCATCCCCGCCGCGAGGCACGGAAAAACACTAAATGAAAAAATTAACCGTACTTGCAAAGAGTACAAATATCCCAACGAAAGATCATACAGTTAAAAAAACGTTTGAAACAGAAACAAACAAAATAAAGTTGAAAAACAAGTACACACTTTGGGCCTCACTAGCAAGTAAATGAGTAGGTTATACTAGTTAACCAGTGAGCTGAATCCATGTTTGACTTTCAGTTACATTCGTGCTTCCTCTGCCTCTAAACCACATTTTCTGACTCTACACAGGAACATGATAACATGTATCTGCGTGCACAAGATCATAATGATGTTGTGCAATTAACACAGTTTGTCAGATGTAATAACCAGTTTGGTCTCACCACTATCATGCTCCTGAAATGTCTCGGGGGCATTGTCATAAACTTCATGAATGTTGCATTGAAATATTGAACCCTCTCTTTTATCCTCCCTCCCACTAATTTAAACATGGAGCAAAGTACTTACTCAGAATACATTAGAATGAGCTAAGTATTCTGTTAAGTAGCAATGGTTTTCATTATGTTTGTGTTGATTTAGTTGGTACTCATTTCAACCGTAACTCCTACAATGCAATGTTACCAGTACATTATGGCTTCTGATAAACCTTCCACTGATTTGATTACTACTAACTTTACTACTGCTTCTAATTATTACCACTGCTGCACACATGCATGTGTCACTCTTTCAGTTCCATCATTAGTGCTTTTTTATTGTTAGTATTAGTATTTTTCTAGTATAGTAGTAGTAGTATTTTCTTCATACTGAGATAGAACTCACTGACTGTGGAGGAAACGGTGGATTCATGGGGGATATGGACATGGGTGGGTCCCGCTGCAAGATCAGAGCATTATTCATAAATGTGAAACACACACTTCTGTCCAGCTCACATTGAAACATAGCACTTGGAGCTTACACTTACTTGTTGCTGTGCTCTTGGGGGGTGCTGTGGTTCTCTTTGGGTCAACTGAAAAAACACAAATAACAAGTTGAAACTTGAGAGCATGAAAAAGCCGGAAAGATGATAAGGATTGTGGATTGTCACTATCACTATCAAAAACAACGCACTCTACCCTTCCAACAATGTGACCTGTTAGTGTGATTTGCCTGGTGAAGGAAATAAAACACTTTCTATTTTAGTTTCAAAGCTAACGCTCAGAGTACCTCACACTGTACGCCGATGATATACTGCTCTTTGTCTAAAATGTACCCCCGTTTCTTCCCGCCCTGCTAAATATATCTGGAAACTATCTTCAACCAACCCCAACCATCAAATTATTTATTTATTTCTTCTATCATAGTTCGACATAGTACAGTCCTCACAGGTTTTGTGTAATAAAAGCCACACATTCAATAAAAGGCAGCTTGTGCACTGACGAGGCTTCAGTTATATCCTGATATATGGTCTATGAGCCACCAGGAGTTGTCCGTTTCTGGAAACAATTATTATCTCAATGGTATATGGGGAAAGCTGGATGGAAGTTTGTGGGTGGTGTGTAGAAAAAGATGCTTCCATTTCTATTTTCATGTCTGCTTTTAGATGTATTATTAGTGTAAGGTGCTTAAAATAATCTCGTACACATATCAGTATCTACATTTCAAAAGAAATACATCACCATGTTTTACATACTCCCACTCCTTTTTCTACAAAACCAGACTAACCCTGCAGTACAGAGACAGCAAACTGCTCTCTTACATTTAAATTAATGTTGAGTTGGAGCCAATAAATCGTGCTGTTTAGACAAGTAATGATTAAGTTGCATCTGCTTATGTGTGCCTCAGTAGCTACATCATTCATTTTAACTGTTGTTTGATTGTATGTGTCAGGCTAAAGAGGAGCAGGTGGCTTCCTTCTTAATGCTGCTTTCACTCCTTTTTTTTATTTCCAGGGTCAAGTCCAAGTGTTCACAGTCACACTGCATTGTTAGTGTTAAACAGCAGACATTTGAATAATCTGGGACCTTGGTTTGTTAGCGTTACATGCAGTTGGCAGTATGGCCTGTCTATTCAAATATTCTGTATGGTATGCTATGCTGCATATCACATATGATGCAGCCTACAGGCATGCACACTCTTGTTCTCTTTTCTTACATACCAGTTTCACAAGTTGAACTATCTGTGTTCAGTTTACGCTGCTCTGATTGCATGCAGTGTGTCTACAAATGTAAAGACGAAAAAAAACAATCTTACGTATACACTCAAATGTGGCGCCTGTGGAGGGGGTGTAAATGAAGGATGTGCCATTAGATTGTTTGCATTTGAGGAGATTAGATGTTCCCGACTTCCTCACATAGCCATCTATGCACGCGTATCGGAATGTGCTGTTAATTTGGAAGCAGGCGACCTCGGGACGTTTAGTTCTAGGCACTTTGGGAATATCTGGACAGCAAGTGTTGTTTTCTGGAAGATAGACATTGTGTTGCATGATTACAAAAGAGACATTTCAAATGCTTCAACTTTTATAAGTGAGTTTCAGATAGCAAAGTTAATAGCTTTGTAGAAATATAGAAAAAGTCCTTCAGAAACAGTGTGTCAGATGTGATTGAGTCCTGATACAGTTATGCAGGTCTTTTGTAATGATATGATATTTGTTTTTGCTTTATTGTAAATCCATAGGCTGTTTTACATGTGCCTAAATGAATACAAGTAAACAACTCTTCCAACACTGCCTAAAAAAGTGCAAAAGGATCCTGGCTGAAATGGAAAATATTACAGAGTATTGTTGTTGTGCACTCACCGAGGCTGGAGACTTCTGCAGCTCCGAGCAGACAAAGCACCGTGAGGCAGGTTAGTGAAGAGGAGTCCAGCTCCATCTGATGATCTGATCTGCTCACAGAAGAGTAGCCATCTACAAGAAGAGACCATCCTACTGCTGTCAATACTCACTTTCACTTTCACAGGCATTCCCGCGACCAACAACCAATCACATGAATCTCCCGCCCCGGACACACAAGCACGCGGTTTGATTGGCTAGAGTTTGTACTGGCATATGATTTGATTGGCTGACGCTTCCGTCGAAGCTTCAACTTTTGAAGCGAGCAACGCGAGAAAAAAACATATTTTTTGTTTCAAAGTTAGCCGTTCATCCATCCTTACTATGGCATTTGCCACTTGATTGACGTACAGGTAAGCCAGTCTGAGTTGTATTGTGCCATACGGGTTCATGCAGTTATGAGGGGGCCTCACCTCCTCATCTGAAGCGCAAATGCGCTACAGTTTATCCGCCGTTTAGTCCACTAGCACCCCCCCCCACTCACGACACAGGGCAGGGGTGGCCCTGTTGGTAGATCATTTGGACGTGGTCATTTTAAAAGTAGCTCCCAAGCTGAAAAAGTGTGGGCACCCCTGGGCTACAGTATGCAAATTCATGGATCACGTGGTACCACGTTTTGCTGCAGTTATACATTCCCCTTTTTTAGTCGAAAAGGTACATACTTATCCACCTTGAGAAGTGATTGGGCTGCACAGAGCCGTCATTTTAAACATAAAGTTGTTATTGGACATTGAAGTGTATTGCGGTGGAGTCAGCCAGCCGCCAGGTGGAGGAAGAGAGCAGAATGTCGCCATGATGTCGTTGACTGTTGCCCTTAGTTTTGTTGTTGTGCTGCTGACTTCCGCTTCGTACAGCGAGGAGCTAACTTTAATAAATGTGCCGCTAAACTCTTTTATGTTACAGGCACTGGCATATAGTTAATGTGCAGACATTTCTTAAACCGGTAGGTTGAAAACAAGCTAAACTAATATAGTTGTTGTGAAGATATTTAATTGAGGAGTAGACAGTCACGTAGCTATGTTAGCATTAGCTAACGTTTAGCTTCATTGATATTTGTCTAGTCTCTCCTTGCCTGCACCTGAGTTTTAAGTAAAACAATGCTTTCTTTAATATAGCTAACGTTAAGTTAACATGTCCATGCATTGAATAAATAAAACCCTCGTTACAATACAAATGGAGAAGCGTCTCATGTAGACAGCTGCTTACAGACTCAATGTCTCTCCAAGTGTTGCAGAGCAAAAGGATGCATGTGAAGCTAGTTTAGATACATTAACGCTGTGGTTGTCAAATGAAATGTGTGTGTGTGTTTGCAGGAGACAGCTATGTCGTTATATGATGAGATCGGTGTGGGTGCCAGTGACACCAAGACTGAAGGCTGGTCCAAGAACTTCAAGCTGCTGCAGTCCCAGCTGAAAGTGAAGAAGGCTGCTCTGACCCAGGCCAAGGTAGGCACATGCAATATGTGAGCACTGCAAGGCAAAGCAAGTTTATTTATATGGCAGATTTCACAATCAATTTCTGTGTGTGTAGACCCAGCGGATGAAGCAGAGCTCGGTCTTGCCTCCGGTTATTGATCTAAAGAGAGGAGGCTCCATTGATGAAAGACAGATCATAGACACTCCTCCACATGCTGCCGCTGGACTTAAGGTTCGTACCACAAACCTGAGCCACAGTATGAAAAAGTTCATACTTAGTGGTAATATGATACTGAGTGGGATGTGGTGTTATGATGCAGCTGCACAAAGACCCCCCCAATCTGCTCACACAACATGTACATATTTGCTTCAGGACACCGTGCCCAGTGGTTTCTCCTCTAGCGATGCGCTGATCCCGTTGGCAGATGAGTACGATCCAATGTTCCCAAACGACTACGAGAAGGTGGTAAAGCGACACAGAGAAGAGCGTCAGAGACAGAGGGAGCAGGAGCGGCAGAAGGAGATCGATGATAGAGAAAAGTACGGTCATGAGCAAATCAGTACATTTGTTTCCGGGCTTGAAGCCATAGCATGTCGAGTTAATGCTTAACTATGGATGCCAAATCATATCAAAAGTTATGCCAAGACACTATTCACATTAATGACAGAGAGTGGAAACAAACATGGGACAACCGAAGAAAAGGGCTGTGGTTTTTATTATTCGTCACGGATTAATAATTTGTATGAAACTGAGAGAGTCTACTGGACTGAATATTTTGAGGACAGGACTCCTTTTTAAGTCTTGATGTTCTTGTGTTGCAGGAAGAGGAAAGACAGGCACGAGGGAGGAGCTCCGAGTGGCTTCTCTCGATTCCCTGCAGCGGAGGGCGAGTCAGATGAGGAGGAAGACTATGAAGCAGAGCGGAGGAAAAGAAGTGAATATTTGTATTGTATAACAGAAATATTCACTTTACTTGGATATTTTCAGAGTCTGAAGGTTGACTTTTCCAAAATGATGACATGCTCTATTTGGTTACACTCAATGTATATAAATACATATGTCAAGCATTTTAGCATTAATGAATAGCATAATCATTTGCTGATTCTATACATGTAGCCCCGCTGTGTGTCACGGTAATGATGTGTCAAACTTCTCTAACGTGATGAATCTCCTGCCTCTCTCTCTCTCAGCTTTAGGTGGAGCAGCCATCGCCCCTCCATCTTCACTCGTGGACAAGGACGGTATGTGTTATCTAGCAGGTGGTGACATTTAAAACCACAGACTATCAAATAGACCAGGAAGCAATCCTATGTAAACGGCTCAGAGATACACTATCCCTTAGTTAGTTAGTTATTTTGCTTGAACTTTGTTTTGTTCCCTGACATGAGTACAAAACACATGGAGCTTTTAATTATTACACGTGCAACAGTGTTACCTGCAGGGGCGTTAGTTCGTTTATTTATTGTCTTTGTCGGTTATGTTAACTGTCAGTTTGCGTACAGCAGAGGGCAGCAGCATCACAGTTTAAAGTATCTTTACCATGTGATGCCAGTATTAAATCACTAGGACAGAGACGGGGAGTTCTTTGCTCCGGTATCATCCTTCATTTTTCACACAGTGACATAAAAAAACAGAATACAAAACGGATTCAAACAGATATTTATTTTTGTATTTATTCTGGTTGATGGGAATACCAAACATAAATTGTACATGTGAAAGAAATAACATTTTATTTGTTTTTCTGTGTGTGTAGGCTCCTACTGCTACGAAGAGGAAGTTCGTCCCCCAAGAGGCTCAAAGGCCGCCATCCCTCCCCCGATGTATGAAGACTCAGAGCGACCGCGCTCACCACCCGGACCCACCAGCTCCTTCCTCGCTAACATGGGGTGGGTGGCACACACACACACACACACACACACACACACACACACACACACACGTACACACGCACACTAGAGAACATGCCATCCTATATTCTGAGTAAACGTGTTAAAGCTGTATGTAGGACAGTTTTTTGTCAATTACTTCATTACTATCTAATAGATACAATGCATCAACATAAATTACAGAACCCTTATTTGACTCAATAATGATTCTATAAATTGAAGTGTCGACAAACAGCTTTATTATTACAACAAACACACATTTTTAAATCCTTCTTCTCCATATCGCCTCCCACAGAGGTACGGTGGCCCATAAGATCATGCAGAAGTATGGATTCAAAGAGGGCCAGGGCCTGGGGAAGCACGAGCAGGGCCTCAGCACGGCGCTGTCTGTGGAGAAGACGAGCAAGAGAGGAGGAAAGATCATCATCGGAGACGCTGCAGAAAAACGTAAGTACTACCGTTACGTTTGTGTTTCTGTTGATATTTTTCTCTCATGATGCTGGAGGCCACGTGCCCAATGTTTTTGACTTTCCTTCAAAATCTTTTCTCTGTTTTGAAGTAGCATTTTAATTTGTTGGTGCCAGCCCTTATGTTTGGTGTCTGTGTGTAACCTGCATTGACTCTTAGTTTATCACTTTTCATTCTTCATCAGTGAGCGTTATGGTGTCATTCCAGTATCAGTTACATGTGTTAATGTTTTACTTTGTGTGCTGTTTTTTTCCCATTTATGTGTGTGTGTACTGACTGTGTGTGTGTGTGTGTGTGTGTGACTGAGCAGCAGGCTCCAGCCAGGCAGGTGCTCCTGAGACTTCAGGAGGAGGCTTTTCAGGTTTGCTTTCACCTTTATTTTCTCTCCTATTAGTATACTGCCATGCTAGTCTATTATTCAGAAATTGTGTGTGTGTTTTCTCCATATCTGTGTATCTATTCTAATGCTCATTTACCCAATTGAAAGCAGCAATGTTTTATGTCTTTTAGTATTTGAATGTTTCCCAAACATAGCAGGGGGGGGGGGAGGAAGTGTGTGGGAGAGAAACTCCCTCTGCAGGTAACTTTGAGGTGTTAGCCTTTGCAGACCATTTACAGTACATGCACAAAATCCTATATAACACACTACAGGAAAGGGAACCCCCAAAGAGCATAATAGGGCCCCTTTAACTTTCTTACAGAAAGTAATGATTTCATTTAAAGATAAGAATCCAGACTTTTAGAACTTACCTCAGAGGTAACGTGTGGAATCAAATGTAAACTGGAGATGAAATGGGTTGATAATAATTGAAAACAGTGGAAATTCCCCTGTGCTATTTGCAGTTGCAGTCTTTGCCTAGCTTTCACTGCTTCTGTAGTTGTACGAGTGAAGGGATTTACAGCCAATCAGCAGCACTTCTGTTATCAGCTCTGTATGCTGTACGTTACAGTTAACATGAGAATACAGTCACTCTTACACTGTTCTCTAAAGCACGTCAGGGGCCTCCTGAGGAACACATTGTTGCTCCTGATTACCAGTTTATGAGTCAGAGTTTATCTAAGGACCTGCTGAAAGGATGACTAATAATATGTACTGTGTGTATACATGTGGACACTTTCTGTGTTCCTCTGAACAAGTTAATTCCTCTGCAGCTTATTGTTAGTATAACAACTTAAAGGCAGTGTTTAAACTATGACAAAACAGCCAGATGTGACAGAAAACTCCTGTTGGGCTCACAATCAGCTTTTGAATAAATATCTGCCAAATTGTCATTAATCATTTGTGTTTTACTCATAACAACACAAATGATAAGCTATTACTCCATTCAGCACCGCATATAAATATTATTTTGAATAGAATAACATTTGACCGTTGTTTACATTTTTTTCACCAACCAGGGGACAATGTCAAGAAGTCAGATGCCAACCCACTGACAGAGATCCTAAAAAACCCCACCAAAGTTGTCCTGCTCAGGGTATGTGTGTGTGTGTCTGATTTATACTGTAGTCTCCTGAGTAAGGCCTAATGTGTGTTTGTTTTGTAGAACATGGTGGGAAGAGGAGAGGTGGACGAAGACTTGGAGGGAGAGACGAAAGAAGAGTGCGAGAAATACGGCAAAGTGGTTAGATGTGTCATTTTTGAGGTAAGAGAAATACAAAGTGTACAGTTAATTCATTTATACTACATGAAACTCACAAAGCCCTCTTTGCCTATCAGATCGCAGTTGTGCCAGATGAGGACGCTGTCCGGATATTTCTGGAGTTTGAGAGGGTGGAGTCAGCCATCAAAGGTAGGTATCCTGTTTTGTAGTCACCTGAATGAGGTCCACTTATATGACTTTTGTAAAGCCTGGACACACCAGACACTACACATATTTGGAACACACGAGTCAGTTCCTGTTGCTTCAAAATGGCTGTAAATGTCACAGTAGTATCCGAACCTCAGGACAAAATGTCCCTTTTGTTGACAATGCTAACTTTATTTCTAAAACACATTTCATTCGGGATGCTTCCAAAATACATATTTGTAAATCCTTTGGTATAAGACTCTCCAAAAACTTGAACTCAAATGTGTGACATCATCACTTTAAAGTGAGGAAGTGATACATAGACGATGATTTGTGTTAGATGAGACAGTGAGAGCAGCCAGGGGGATTTTCTGAAAGCATGGGAAAGGTTTTTGTTTCACAACTGGGAACACTACAAGACAGTAAAGCTCATTTTGGTATAAAAAAACAAAACATTCTTTGTGTTCCAAAACTCAGTCTCATGTGTATTGTCTATGGAACAACTCCAGACTTATTCATAATTATCAATTGAATATTTAGGCCATGGACATAACATTTAGGGTTTCATTCTTACATATTACCCTTGTATAACTGCTCTAATATTGTGGGTGAGAGTGTGACCCATTCTAAATGTGTTGGCCCAGATCAGAATGAAGGTGAGACTCCCTGTGGTGTTACATCTTACGTGACTCTCTGCAGCAGGGGCACAACCGCGAGAACACTCGCGCTCAGAAAGTGGGACAGACGGAACGATACATAACAAGCCGCTTAGTGTGATCTATTTCTACAGATGATGACTAAACATTTCTTTACTTTTTGCTGAAAAATCAAGTACCACTCAAGTAGCAAGAGTGGTTGTCCACCAGTGTTACGTTCCCTCCAAATCTAACAAAACACAAAGATGACCAGGCACGAGAAAAAAGAGAGGAAACCGATCTCTGAAGTCACGAGCAGGTCTTTTAATGGACAAGAAAGGAACACAGGCTCACCAGCCAACTTGCACAGTAAACTAATGTACCGGTATATCCAGGAGCACATCTCCTATCAATCGACAAAACACAGGGTTGTACACATGCAGCCAGAGGAGGAAAAGGAGAGTGACTGCAGCCTTCCTCAGGTCCTATATGGGGGCCCTGATTGGGGATTGGGAGCACCTGGGGACAATCAGGCTGCACCTGGGGAGAGAGGGAGAGAGAGAAAGACACACACACACACAGACACAGGCACACAGGCACACACACTACGGCATGTAACAACCAGTAAGAGGTCAATGTTTAAACTGCTGATGAATGTGTGCGTGAATGAGTGAATGCTGACTTCTGTATGGGACAGCTCTTTTAGTGATGGCAAATAATTGAAAAGTGCTATATAAATTCAGTACATTTACCAATTTAAGCAGCAACCAAGGGGTTTGAAAAGTGAAGCCAATGCAGAAGGGCCTTTAAACCTGGATTCTTTCCAATTAATAGTTAAATATGGCCGAGACGATTGTGTAGAAGACTGAGAAAATGTGGCTACTTCTCTCTTGGTTTTTTAATTACTTTATTGTCTTAATTTGTACTTTCAAGTCTTCTCCAGTACAGCATGATGTTTATTTAGTCAATCATCCTCCCATTCAGAGTAAAATAGACGATACAGCAGGGTATGTTTTTAGCATACAAACATGAGAAGGTTTCTGCCATCTCACACTAACAAAGACCTCCAGACATGTTTGATGTACTCCTTTTGAAAGAATATGTTGCCCTGTTTTCATTTACATGATGTAATGAGCCTAACCGCAAAATAATCTACAGTCTTATCACTGCAACATGTTTTGTAATCCAAGTGGCAATAAGAGCTTGTTCATTTCCTCGAGACACAACACTGAACGCTGAGTATGTCCAATGTCCTTTTTATACAAAGGTCCCCTCGATTAGTGGAACTTTATGACAGCATTTACTGTCTGCTGCCTCTTTAGTCATATTTTCCTTATTACCACGTCTAATTTTGTGGTGTTCAAGCGTTCACTGGCACAGCTTTCCAGGACAGTTTGTTCCACACAAATGAAACAACTTAGAACAAGAGCGTTGACGGTTAAATTAAACTATTGAACTGTGTACCACTGTTCAACAACCATACAGTGAGAACAGGTTAAAGCCCCTTCAGGAGCCTGTCAAAGGCATTCTGATGAAACACCAGTTGAAATAACTCAAGGTTAACTCTTCGCTATAAAATAAATATTAACCAAAGTGTGTTGTTGAATGGTTAATCTGTGTCCTTATCAGTGTGAGTCTAACCTCCGCTCTCCTCTGCAGCCGTGGTGGATCTGAACGGACGTTATTTCGGCGGGCGAATCGTCAGGGCCTGCTTCTACAATCTAGACAAATTTCGGGTTTTGGACCTCGGTGAGCAGGTGTGACGTCTCATCATCTCACAACGTGTACATAAGCCTTTTTTATATTTCCTGAACAACAGTGACCTGTCGGTATGTAGTGGTGATTCCGTCTTGTAGATTAATGTCATTAAAAATACCTTTTATGTTGAGACAAAATAAAGAGTATGAACGACATCCAGTTTACTGTTTTCTTTACTTTGGACTGTAAATGTTTTTTTGTTGAAAATGTCTTTGCAACCTGCACACATCCTGTCATGGAGCCTGGTTTCCTTCGTGACATAACGCTGCATCCAAAGTAGTGTTGAGACATCTCCAGGGCCCGATGGTCTTAACTTAGCCCTGATTGATTGTGAAAAGAGGGCCTCATTCAGAAATTATATAAGTGCGCCTAAATGGGCCTGAAGCTGCCTGTGAAATGCGTCAGCAGGGATCCCACCGGAGCAGGTTTATTCAGATCAGGGAGAGAAAACTGAAAGGAGAGTTTTACTTTATGCTGCAAGGGTCAAAGGTCGAGGTCAGGGTATGCTGTGTGTGTGATTTGAGACAAGGTGAGTGTAAAGGCTGATCTGGATATCTTGACATGAAAACAGGGAATTCTCTGAAGTATTTTGAAAGATGCAGCCTATATCTTTCTTGAATTTTACACATTGAGGATGTTTCTTACTAAACCAAGTAAATGTGTTTAAAACAAGTTCAACTTAAGAAAAGAAAGTGACAGAAAAAAACATGTCATCACAAAAGTAAAAGTACCAAAGCATAAAGGACTAGTACTTAGTATCTTAGTTAAGTGAACAGGGTCACGGTCCCACAGCCTGTCCTTTTTCCTGTCAATCTTAATCTATGCGGAAAAATACAGGGCCTAAAAATAAGCTGCCATTATCTTTTATACCAGTGCTGAAACGGATGCATATTCACTGGTCAAGGTCAACTGTTATGACTATTGACCAAAACACAGGAGGAGAATGATTGTGTTATGTTGTAGTGAAATGACTCATATTCTATGAATGGGGGATGATTCAGTGTCAAAATGATGACTCATGCCTAAATGGTTTCCTGAATCTTAACATATCAGTGTGAATAAATAATTTAAACATAGCTTATCCCAATCTGGATTTGCATCTTGCAAATGAAGACATAAAATGATATGAAACAATAGTACGATTATGATGTAAATAGGATCTCTTAAGATGCATTTTTGTAGAAAGTGGAGGATGTATCATTTTACGGGAAGACATTAAACAAATTAATTCAAAAATATTTAAATAATTACTTAAAAGAGACATTTACAATTTAGAAATGTGCATAATGAGTACCTTTACTTTTGGTACTTTAATTTAATTCAACTTTTGTACTTTTAAATGCAGGACTTGTAACAGAGTATTCCTGCACTCTGGTACTTTTACTTAAGTACAAGATCTGAGTACTTTTTCCACCTCTGCGTGCATACTCAGATACTATCTGTTATATCAAGTCTATGGTTACCACACACAGAGGCGCTATGCTGAACGTGCGTATGGGCGCGTGAGTGGGTTCGTGTCGTCACCGCTGTCACGTTGCTGCCGGCCGGCGGGGCGGGGTTAAATAGAGGATGTGAGCCGCAGCCTGCAGATTTCCCCGTTCAGCTCAGGAACAGCACGCCTCATTTAGCCTGAACCTACAAGGCTCTTTTGTGTCTTCTCCCCGAAACTGAGCGGCTCGGTGCCCGTGTACTGTGAGGAATGCCCGGAGAGCTGACCCAGGACCGGATCCAGAAGACCTGGGAGCGGTCCAAGGATGACCCACCGGCCAACCGAAGAGGTAAAGCCCCATAGTAGCCTATACTACAGCGCCATATGCTGTTTTCTAACCTAAATTATCACTACATTATTATGACAAATGTCGTCATATATATGTCGTGTGTGTGTCATCTCTGTTAGAGTAGGCTATACAGTTGTGCACCTGTCGTACACCTGTACTTCACATTTTTTCACTTCCATTGATCTTCATCATCGCCACGCGCCGCACGTCACATCCCTTTTGCTGGAGAATGACATAGCTGCGGTCACCATGGTTACCACGTCTGTGTGATGCTTGGTTTTCTATTGGTCAGCGGCCAGCGAGTGAGACCCTGCCTAGGGGTGAGCTCGGGGAACTCTGAGTGAAGGATGTTTCTTACTCTCTTGTGCCTGCGACACAAGAGTCAAGTTTCTGCAAAAGAAACAGAAAGCTTCCCGAGTGCTTGCAAATGTTTCAGCTTCCATTGCTCTAGTTTAAATAGTTAAAACTAGGAACTAAAGCAATTTGAAAGCGCTCTGCTCGTCTTTGGTCACTTTTCCCTGCTAAACTGAGGCAGACTCTTATGATTTGAGTTACAAATGAGCACATAGGTGGTGCTGTGCAGAGAGGATGATGAACCCGATCATCTGTTAGGCAGCATGGCTCGTTTGTATGGAAACAAGGTCCGCAAGTATAAATGAGATTGACAGCCACATGCTGCTGGGCGTGTCACAGAAATAAAGATTTCAATAAATACATTCAGGTAGCCTGCAGGGTGGAGAGAAATAAAGCAAAAATACAAGGTCCAATTATAAAATCACGGGAAAACAGGCATTGTTGTCATAACAACCATAACAACCTCCCCCTCCTCCCATTCTTCTCTGCAGCGGCCGGTGCCCCCCACTTCGCCAACCCCCCCACCGTCATCGTGATGGTGGGTCTTCCGGCTCGAGGAAAGACATACATGTCCAAAAAACTCACCCGCTACCTCAACTGGATCGGCCTTCCCACCAAAGGTACACACACACACCTACACACCTACACACCTACACACCTACACACCTACACACCTACACACCTACACACCTACACACACACAGATCGTGTTGGCTCATTCTGTGGTCAGATGGTTATGTGACTGCTGTCAGGTACACACACTCTCTCTCACACACACCCACTTCAGCATTAATCATGTTTCCACCTCCTGGACATCGTGTTCATTATTTCTCCTGTGTGTGTGTGTGTTGTAGTCTTCAATGTGGGAGAGTACCGCAGGGAAGCAGTGAAGAACTACAGCTCCTATGATTTCTTCAAGCCCGATAACGAGTGTGCTGTTAAAATCCGACAGCAATGTGCCTTAGCAGCCTTAAGGGATGTCCACTCCTATTTGAAGGACGAGGGAGGCCAAATAGCGGTGAGTTTCCCATCATTCATTGCATGCTTTTCTAAAATGTTCTCCTAACCTGGACTCGGTTTAACCCGCTTTGTGTCCTTTCAGGTCTTTGACGCCACAAACACGACCAGAGACAGGAGAGAGATGATCCTCCAGTTTGGAAGTGAGAACGGCTTCAAGGTCCGTGATGCTACCTGAGGATTCACAGCATTTCCTCAATTTCAATGCAGCGAGTTTAACTGCTTTTGCTTTTTCTGCCCAGATCTTTTTTATCGAGTCCGTGTGTGACGATCCCAGCGTTATTGCGTCAAACATCATGGTGAGTCAAAGCTCCAGTGCATCCTGGTCCCATGGCATACTATGCAAACTCTCTGGCATAAGGTGTGGTTACTGCATCTCTGTCTGACTGACTTCCTCCCTGTTCAGGAAGTGAAGGTGTCCTGTCCAGATTACCGGGACTGCAACAAGACTGACGCCATGTTGGATTTCCAGAGGAGGATTGAATGCTACAAAACCAGCTACCAACCCCTGGACCCTGATCAACATGACAGGTAAATGATCACTATCAATATCTAAATGCCGTTTTGTGTATTTATATAGAGAGGACATCAACAATATTGGTGCTCATAGAACATCTTAAGGCTCAACTTTAACAACGCCAAGGAAGTGATGGTTGAATGTAGGAAAAGGTGGAAATACACACACACACACACCTGTCTACATCAGTGAAGCTGTTGTATAGCAGGTGCACACTTTTCTGCGAATCAGCATCACAGAGAAGCCGACATGGACATCCCATATCTCCATCCTGGTTGAAAAAGCTAAAAAAAGGCAGTATTTCTTAAGCAAATGTAACAAGGGAAACCCCCACGGCCATGTTCCTGTTATTAAGCTTTACAGTGGAGCCTTAGAAAGCTTCCCGACTGGAAACGTTAAAAGTGTTTTTGTTTTTCTTATGTAGGAGACCCTGTGTTTAACACTGTCAATAAATGGTCCTTGTATCCTCCATGGAGGTTAATGAAACACTCCCTCCATCCTCTTCTTCCTCCAGGGACCTCTCCTTCATCAAGGTGATAGACGTGGGTCGGCGCTTCTTAGTCAACCGGATCCAGAATCACATCCAGAGTAAGATCATCTACTACATGATGAACATCCACGTCCAGCCCCGCAGCATCTACCTGTGTCGGCACGGAGAGAGCACCCACAACCTGGAGGGGCGTCTGGGCGGGGACTCGGGCCTGTCGCCGCGGGGCAAACAGGTAGGAACCCTTGAAGTAGATTGTAAATTGTAAAACGAAATGCCGGTTTCAGGTGCTAAATATGCTCTGCTTCAGTTCTCAGCTGCCCTGGCTGGCTTTGTGGAGGAGCAGCAGCTGCAGGACCTGAAGGTCTGGAGCAGCCAGCTGTGCTGCAGCATCCAGACGGCAGAGCGCCTGGGTGTCCCGTACGAACAGTGGAAGGCTCTGAATGAGATAGACGCCGTAAGCATCGCACTCACACACCAAATTCCCAGTATTTTACTTGCGGCCAAACTGATATATTATCCGTCATTTCAGGGAATGTGTGAGGAGATGACGTATAACGAGATGAAGGAGAAATTCCCGGAAGAGTTTGCTTTGAGAGATGAAGATAAATACTACTATCGCTACCCTGCCGGAGAGGTATGCACACACGTAATAGCAGTGATTTGCATTTAGGTCATTGGCTGACATATAGCAAAATAACCCAGATTATAATTTTAGACATAAGAATGCAACCCTACTTCAGAGGTATTTGATATACGAACAATAATAAAGATGCCAACCCTCCGTATCCTGATCACAGTCCTACCAGGACCTGGTGCAGCGGGTGGAGCCGGTCATCATGGACCTGGAGAGACAGGAGAACGTTCTGGTCATCTGCCACCAGGCCGTCATGCGCTGCCTGCTGGCCTACTTCCTGGATAAGAGTGCAGGTGGGTACTCCAAAGTCCCAGAAACCTTCTGTTGCTGTATCATAATGTTAATGATTTAAAGGTCGCCTGTTACGCAAAATCAATTTTTCATGTCTTTCATACATAAACATGTGTCCCCTCTGTGTAAAGAGATTCTGAAAGTTTCAGGAAAAAAGATTACCTCGATTTTTGTCCTGATCCATTTCTATAAAAACCTGTCTGAAAATGAGCTGATGAGATTTTGGCCACTCTATGATGTCATTACGATTTTTTGGCTTGTGTAACCATTAGCCAATAACCATCCAAGGTAACCCACCTTATCACCTGAATCTCCTCCTAGAGCACCATTGTGTTCTTTTTAACCAAATATCTCTCAGAGGGGCGTGGGGAGTGGCTCCTTATTTTCATCTAAAGTAACAGACACAGAATCAGCACTTTTGAAACAGGGCTGAAACAGAGGGGTTTATGGGATGCTGCAATGCATGATCTGTTTGGTATTTCGAGCCAAACACTTCAGAGACATGTTTGTATATATCTGAGACTTATAATACATTGATGAAAAACTGTATAATAGGGGACCTTTAAGATGCTAATGCTGTTCATATGTGTTTTTCCAGAGGAGATGCCGTATCTGAAGTGTCCCCTGCACATGGTGCTGAAGCTCACCCCGGTCGCCTACGGCTGCAAAGTGGAGTCCATCTCGTTGAATGTGGAGGCGGTGAACACCCACCGAGACAGGCCGGAGGTAACGTCAGATAAACTCACTACTGAATGTGGGAGACGTGCTGTAAAGAAGCGGATACATGTTGAGCTCATCCTCAAATTAACATTTCCACATGCTCACCTGCAGGATGTGAAGAGGGGTCCCGGGACGTTGATCAGGAGGAACAGCGTGACTCCTCTGACCAGCCCCGAGTCCAACATCAAGAAACCCCGCATCGACGATCTGGACGAGGCCGACTTCTCCGAGCTGCCTCCATCTGTGTCCTCGCCGTCTCTCTGCAGCCCCTCACACACCCCCATCAGCCTGTCTGGACAGGTAGGGCTCTCATAAACACACTCGGACACACTCAGACACACAAGCCTTTTTCTGTTAAATCTGGCTTCTTTAGTTATTGGGCTTGTGTAGAGACGGCAAGTTTGTCCACTGACTTATCTATGTCTCTTCCTCCTCTGCTCCGCTACTATTTCTTCTTCTCTCTCTCCTCTTTTCCTCACAGCACTGGCTGGGCAGAGTTTGCCTGTAAGTATTCTCTGTTTTCTTTTCATCCAATCCTGACACTCTCTTCCTGTTACTGCTGCTTCTTTTTTTACTTACTTTTCCCGCACTCAATTTAACAGCAGCTTTTGCTTTTTTGGACATAAAATCTAAAAGCATCTAAAGACATATATAAATGTACATACTCTACCTTTTAATAGTGACATGTGACTCCGTAATCTCATTTGTGAGTATATATTATGACGGATGCATCATTTTTCCGTAGATGGACAGGTTTCACACTGACAGGAAATGAGTGTGTGTGTGTGTGTGTGTTTTCTTCTCAGTGAGGGAAAAGCAAACAGGAAAACACGTGTTATTCCTGCCTGCTGTTTTCACCACTCTTTACGCTGACTCATGCTTACTGTCCTCTCCTTGTCTAGGTGCTTGCTTTATATCTGGCCTGCTTAAAGACCAACCGTCCTCCAATATCTGAAGGTGTTTTCACTCTTAGTCTTTCAAAGGTAAACGCACTGTAGAGGCTCTGCATTGCTGCGTACTGTAGTTCTGCTAGCAGTCACATCAGACGCAAATACATACAATAAACCAGATGACTCTGACACAATGTCCACTTTATGAAGAGCTATTGGACCAAAGAAACACCATCAGACTCATTTAGCATAGGCTCAAACGTAGCATGCTAAAGCTAGCTTCCAGTAGCTGTGTTGTTATTGTTGCTGGTTTGCTAGGTAGCATGCTAACAAGCTAAACAATTATATTCACAAGCTTAAAGTTACTTAGAATAGAATATTTTCTCAGAAACAAACTTAAGTGTTATTGGTTTGTTTATAGATGGACAATTTCAAAAGTCTAGAAAAGACAGAGAGATGTGTTTTAATGTGTCTGTGAAAGTTTTTCTGACGCAGCGGAAAGGCGGAATTAGCACCCATACACACACACACACAACCAGCCACCTGTTTACACAATCATTAACTCAGTGGTTGTTTTCATGTCCTACTTTTGGGATTACACTGCATGAGGATTTACTGTACACTCCAAATGAGGGATTACTCAACATGAGGAAGTATCAGTAAAGCCTGTGTTTGTATTGTGGTTGAACTTCTGGCAGCCAAGGCTAAGGTGTTGCGTATTTTAAAGGTTGCTACACAGCAGTGTTCACATTATTGCCGGATGTGTTTGTGTTAATGTGTTGCATTTTCAACAGTTGCCTCACAGAAATATTCACTCTATTGCTGAATGTGTTTTCATTACAGAACCTGAGGAAAAAGACATCGGCCCTGCACTGACGTGAGGTTCACTGAAGGTCGGACATGAAACTACAAGCACGAGTTCAGTTGTGAAGAGACACAAGTAACTGTAGGCTACATGTTATTGTTAAGAAATGATGGTTATTGTTCATATCTCATGTAAAGAAACAGTCTTAAGTTCTCCTATTTTATATCTCTTTGAGACTGAAGAACGTCACGCATATAATTATTTTGAATGGATAGCTCAGATGGCTCCATATCAACTATTTTCTACTTGTTTATAATTGAGAGACCTAAGACAGTCACAACTACAGAAATCCTTCAGCCAATTCTTTTTTTTTACCTCTGGTTGCACTGTCAATTTACATTTTTCTCTTCTTTGCATTTTAAATGCATATTTGTCTAATTTGTGTTCAAAAGAAGATGATTTAATTGTATGCTTACATTATAAAATAAGCGATTATTTTGCACATTGGGGATACATTTGTACTTTTGCATTTTTCATGTCATGGAGGTGATGTCTGCCGTAGTGCCTGTAGCGCTTGTTTCTTCCAAGCCTTACGCCACTCCCCTTGCCATTTCTATGGAATAGAGACTCCACATATCACTTTAATATTTATTTAATATTTATTTTTCATCATGTTTAACGCTACAATGCATGTTGATAATTTAACAGAGTTCTTAATTTGTCTTTTTCTTTTTACAATGTCTGCTCGGCACAAATGTAACTTATATTTTTGTTCTAACGAAGCGTGCTGTTAATAATATGTAAGTGTTCATACAGTATAAATGAAGAGATGCATGGGAGAGACTTTCTGGAGTCTTAAAATGAAAATGTATGAAGAAGTATTTTTGTACCTCTCTCTGCTGAAACCTTTGTTAACATGTTGGCACAAAATACTTGTCTTTTGTAAAAACTGTTTTATTATATTCTTTATTTATTTGTTGTAGTTTTGGATACTTGGAGGGAGAGGTAGTACCCCGTTTCAATCTGAGAGGACAGTATGTTGTACAGTCCTTTTGTATCTGCTGGGCCAATAAAATAACTGCTAAAGATATAATTATTTTGATGTACTTGTACTTTATTTGATGCTTCTAATGTAATTGTACCTATACTGCCTTTTTCTAATGATTTAATAATCTTGGGGGCATTTTAAAAACAAATTGACATAAAATACAAAGCACTGTTATATAGTAAGTTAAACTACACAACAAGCACTATTTTGAAGCCAGCCACAACCATAAAATAGATCTATTAATATTATATTATCGTAATATTATAATGTAACATCTGGGCCCCTTTGGCTCCATAGTAAGTACTTTTACTTACTTAATATAACTTGAATGCAGAACCTTTACTTAGCTTTACTTATATGGTGTTGGTTCTTCTACTTAAGTAGAATTTCTCAATTTCCTCCTGGGATATTGTGTGCTAAAGGTGTGTGTCTTTTTGTGTGCGCGTGTTCATCCGTGTGTGTGTGTGTGTGTTCTCAGTCCTTTCAGGGTGAGAAGTCAAAGAGTGCAAGAGTTATTGGATCAAACTATGCAAACAGTTTCAGGCTGTGTCAGGAATATTGTCTGTATTCTTCATTCTCCCCACTTTGCATATGAAAATGATCCGGGACTTTTATTGTTTCCTGATATTTTTAATATTATAAAGTACATGATGTAACCTTCAGGATAGATCTGGGCTAATCTTGATGCTAACTAGCTAAAGTTGTCAAAAAATCTACTTTAATTTGTTTGTCAGTTAATTTGTCTTTTATCTGTCCCTATTTTTAGAGCAGTGGATTCAATGTATTATTTGTTGTCATTGCAATGTGGAACCACTATGTATTATTAATATTACTATTATTATAGATGCTGTATAAAGTGCCATGCCATTTTCTCTTCACCCATGTCTCTCTCCTTTTCTCTTTCTCACACACACACACACACACACACACACACACACACACACCAGCAGAATGGTATTTCCTATCTGAGTGTATTGGCTCATTGTGTGGTCAGATGGTTATGTGACTGCTGTCAGGTACACTCTCTCTCTCTCTCACACACACTCTCGTGTACGTGAGCCTATCCTCATCTCTCCTCACGTCACTGAAACTCTCACACCTACTTTGAATTCTATCTTTGCATGTTGTTGTGTTTTACAAGTGTCCTACTGTGAATTAAATATGCAGAACGTTGGAATGTTGGAAGGAGCGCCCCACTTCCACCTGGACACATTTCTGTGTCACGGAGCGAGTCACACTCTGAGTCATGTCTCTATTTTTGTTGCTACTTATGACTCAGCAGTGGTTTCCCTGCAGTGACTGCAACATCACGCCTTACTGTAAAGACCCTGGTGGACGTGCAGTAGCTTACAGCCTCACACTCTCTTGGAAACATTGACAGAGGTATTTGCGAGGCCTTGCTTGCCGCTCTTAGCTTGCAAACGGGCCAAAACAGGTTAATCCAATAATGAGTCAAGTCTTTAAAAACATTGATATAATCAGAAAATTAACAAAACATTCAGGGTGGAGGGATTGTTGGTATTTAAAAAATATATGCAAATAAAGGGGAAATCCTAACCCCACCATGCCTGGTTGTGCAGTCCCTAAACTGTGAAATCTGACTACTGTACTTTTCAAGTATGAAGCAATTTGGTACTGCCTCATACACATGTTGACCTTGTGCACATACCTTCTGTTTGTAAAGAATGCTTTACCTCCATTATTGATGTGCGGGACTCCCTTTGTGCAGAGGCCATTGATGAGGAGTTTGGGTGTTGAATGGAGAGGATAATGACTCAGCTGGCCTTGAATAGAGCAGATTAAATAGATCATGGGTTATACCTGAATATACTGGCACTGAAATGAAAGCCCTTTAACAGGATACCTTGCATAGTTTTGTCACAATTGTTTCTCTAAATGTAGTATTGCATTGGTATATTATCAAATCCATAGACATCTTCTTTTTATTACTTGGTTTAAAGGGGACCTATTGTGCAAAATCCACTTTTTCATGTCTTTTATACATAAACACGTGTCCCCTCTGTGTAAAGAGATTCTGAAAGTTTCAGGAAAAAAGATTCGCTCACTTTTTGTCCTGATCCATTTATATAAAAACCTGTCGGAAAATCAGATTTTGGCCACTTTATGATGTCATAACGATTTTTTGGCTTGTGTAACCATTAGCCAATCACCTACCAAGGTAACACACGCCCACCTTATCACCTGAATCTCCTCCTAGAGCACCATTGTGTTCTTTTTTTTTACCAAATATCTCGCAGATGGGCGTGGGGAGTGGCTCCTTATTTTCATCTAAAGCAGGCGTGCCCAACCAGTCGATCGTGATCGACTTAATATTTTAAGTTTTGTCACCGTCCCGTTGCACGTCTTTTTTTACTTCCGGTATGTATTTTCCACTCTCCGCGGACTGGCCATCTGTAGAATCTGAACAGCCGGTCGTCAAGGGCCGGCTTGATTCGCTGAAGGCCGTCACCTTCCTTAATCTTTTATGTTTTTAAAAGGCATCATTGAAGTTGCACCGACAGAGGTCCGCCGTTACCCCGCAGCGAAGCTCCCCCCCAGTTGACAGTTCGTTAGCACCCCAGCCCCCCCCCCCCCCCGCTCTCTATTTGGACTGGTAGATCTCGGCAGACTGGCAACTTTAAAAGTAGCTCTTGGTTCAAAAAAGGTTGGGCATCCCTGATCTAAAGTAAAAGACAGAGAATCAGCACTTTTGAAACAGGGCTGAAACAGAGGGGAATTATGGGATGCTGCAATGCACGATCTGTTTGGTATTTCGAGCCAAACACTTCAGAGACATGTTTTGTATATATCTGAGACCTATAATATATTGATGAAAAACAGCATAATAGGGGACCTTTAACTTGGCTCAGGGCATAGATGGCCATATAATTCAGAATGTCAGTGGTTCGATCCCCAGTCCCTTAACATGTTGAAGTGTCCTTAGGCAAGATACTGAACCCCAAATGGCTCCAATAGGCACGGCCAACGTTGTTAAGTGCTTTGGGAGTCTTCCGGATAAAAGCATTGTAATGTAACTGTGTCCGTGTGTGTTTGTTTACTGACCTGTGTTGATAACCAAGTCTTAACCCTGTTTGTGATGAGGACTGCAGAGGACAGATTTAGGAGCCAACTGCGTTGGCAGAGGATACATTACCATAATTTCCTTGGGGCCCAAATATACCCTAGATTAGTGGATTGATTGCAAAAGATCTAAATCTCCAAAGGGAGGATGCCAAGAAGTGCTTTTGGTGTAGTTGGACAACAGCAGCTTACTTCCTGTTATATCGCTGTCCTGACTCTTCCTAATTCCTCTGCAAGTAATTGGGTTAGAGATGGTGGACTAATAGGATAGTCGCGGGCTGCAGACACGCCAACATTATGAGAGAGAGGAGAGGAGAAGAGAGGGGACACAGACTGGAAACTATGAAAGCAAATAAGTGGACCAGAAAAAGGACAGTGGGGAAAACACAAGGACAATTCAGAATTGGTTGGCAAGGCAAGAAGAGCAAGGGAGGGACAAGAGGAAAGCAAAAGAGGAGAACAAAAATAAGTGATGAGGAAAAAAAGATGGGTCGAATTCATAAAAATTGAAAGGATAGGATCTAAAATGAAGTTCGACCAGTGAGCTTCCTGTTCTTCACCCCTTTCATAATTTCCCCCCTCCTTTCCCTCCTATTTGTTTGCCCTCAACATGAGTAATCCACAAACTGGTGTGTGGAGGCTCACGTAGTCTCATCACAGTTTAAATCAACTGAACTATTTATGGCTTATTACACATTATCTCCGAGGCAAACGCTCTAACCTCATTAGCCAAGCACATTTTCAACAATGTATATATTTGACGACATATATAAATAACGACATGTTTGTCGAAAACAGGAGAAAAACGACATACTGTATATATAGTATGTAGAAAATATCATAAAAAAGGACATAGTATAGCATGTCGAAATATGAGAAAAATGAAATAGTATAGTATGTCGAAAATACGAGAAAAAACGACAGTGTAATATTTTGAACAAATGTGAGAAAAAACAACATGGTATTTGCAAAAAAAACGACATAATGTATAATGTTGAAAATATGCAAATAAACGACGAAGTATAGTATTTCGAAAATATAACAAAAAACAACGTAGTATAGTCTGTTGAAAATATCAATCAAAAGTCACAGCATAGCATGCCAAAGTAAATGTAAAAATGCATTGCATTAAGTATAAATATCTGAAAAGACGACATAATGTTTGTGCGAAATAACAGACAAAATGTCAGATAGGAAAATATATTTTTGTATGAGGAAAAGGTCCTCAACAAGGTCAAACGATAGTAATTTAAAAATAACAGAATAAACAACATAGTTTGTCAAAATTATCAATTATTATTAAATGTCTTAGAAAAGTATCATGAAAGTATCAGAACCAACGCTTTTTGTTTGTGGACCTTGAGAAGGTGGCCTTATATTTTTCATGTCTAACACCGAACACAACCTCCAGCGTCATATCACGTGCACTTTTCACCCCCTGACCCCTATCCTCTCTGCGGGTCAGCTGAAATGGTCTTAGCCAGGATCAGTTTCAGAAACGCTGTCTGTCACGCAATTTTACCAGAGTGATTTAAACTTAATTACTGCTATTTAGTTTGAGCAAATGTGGACACTTAAAGCAAACCAAAACAAATTAAAAACCTCCTTCCAATCCTGAGAGGTGACCTAAGGTCCCTCTGAGCCCCGTGTGAAAGCCGGTGTAATGCTGAACTTAATATGACGGTATATCCTCTTAACTCTCAGGATGCATGGCCCACTAACATCACCCTGATATCTATAGTATGCATTGAGTGGGGGACCCTTATCAAATTAGTTAGTTCTGAACTTAAGCGGGGACTCGGATCAATAAAGTAGGGGGGACCCATATCACATTTTTTTAATTTGATATAAGGGGGGACACTTATTAAGATAAAGAGCACACAGTATTAACTCAGTTAACTTCCTGTGTAGCTCTCATGCTACCTGCTGGTAAAACGACTGAACCACAACTGTAAATAATATTAAAG